GGGCTGGAACTGACTGTTCCTGCCCAAGTGAAGTTCATTGCATTGGTCTTCATGGAGTTTTTCCTCTTACCACCCACTTCAATTTGTGTCAGCCCTCTTTTTTTCTGACCAATAATCGAGGCTCCTTTTTTGCTGGGATTGCTAGCTCACCCTGCTCCAGCCAGGACCCAGGAACTGGTGCAGTTCTCTTCTGCTGCACATGAGAGCAGACTTGCAAGTTTATAAAACAATAGGTTTGCCTCATCTGCCACTGAAGCTGAGGGCAGGGTTTGTGACTGGTTTAGCATTAACAATACTGCATTACTATATTTAATCATTTCACCTATTTATTCAAATGTACACCGTGAGTGGGTGAAGGAATCTGCTGTGATTCAGAGTCAGGGTGTGTCCCAGCCTGCTGATCAGCATTCAGGCATGAAGGAGAATTCTTAGTGCTTCTAAGTCAGGAGAGCTAATGACTGCCACACACCTACTCTCTTAATGGAACCATTGCCCTGGAAGACAACAACTGAGGTCAAACCATCCCTTGACTGGGCCCTTTTTCAAGAGACATGTTTGCAAGCCTCAAATTCAACCTCTCTTCCTTCCATGGACACAGCCTAATCCTGGGTAAAATCTAAAGGGAGGGTGAAGCAGACCCACATTCTTCTCACCCTCTGGAGGGGAACAACCTGTCCTGTGTTACCACACAAGGAAGTAGAGATGCACACTCACAGTGGAGCAGCTGGCAGTGACAGGAGGTGGAAAGAGACAGTGGAAAGCTGGGGGACACTGTGAGAGAAGCTGTAGGAGCAGGAGAGGGGCAGAGGAAGCAGAGACAGGAGGGAGGAAAGTAGAGAAAGGGGGGAAACACAGCAGTCAAACTGTTTCCTGTAGTCCTGTTCTCAACACTTTTTCTGAATAAGTCCATTAGAAAGGAATCTCTGCAAGGATTCTCCTTGTGGAGCTTCCCCAGAGCCATCACAACTGCCCCCTGGAGTGATGCCTCCCTGACAATTTCCTACATCCCAGAAATCTCGAGTGCTGAAATCAAGTCAAGACCATCCAAAAGGAAGGAATGAAGAGCATTAGGACCTGCAAGCTCCAGCATCACTGGTTCATATAATGTTACAACTCTTACAACTCCCGTTTATGAGGTTAAAAAAATAATGATTCACAAAGCTGGCTGTCACCTGGAATGATTTAACCAGGCCATCCCTAATGTAAATGACATTGACTCACATTTCCAGATGTAGGTGCAACTGGCAATTGTCTTTTCCTCATAATTGTCTTAACTTGCTTTGCTAGTTAGAAATAGTTTCCTAGATTATATTTCAAATCTGGTAATCATTAGAGGTACATTCTTCCCATAGATGTTTGTATTTGTAGTTGATGAAACATCTAGGACAGAATTTGACCTACAAACTTAGATATGTAGCAGCAGCCTAAACAGAAATACATGTACTTAAATCTGAACCAGAACTAAAGATTTCTTGATATATACACAAAATTTAAAATATGAATGCACATGTTGCAACAGACAAGATTTTTGTGAGGGCTTTTTTTTTTTTCCTCCTTATCTCTGAAGTTTTTCAGGTTACTTACCTTTAAACAATTCTTTAATTAAATTTAATACAATGGCATTCTCTTAGATAATGCAGGGGGGAAACCTTTAAATAACAGGATAAAAGAAGTGTTGGAAATCTCTAAAAAGTTTAATCAAAAATAGTATACGCAAAGTGAAAAAATTATGAAATATGATCCCCCATTGGTTTTCATCCAAAAAGTGCTTGGACTCTCCTCCTGCTTTTGTCTATTCTGTCCCAAGGCACACACAGGTTTATCCAGCCCCTCACAATTAACCCCTCGTGTGACGTTGCAGTGACATCAATGGCTGAGCTGGCTGCAGTGGTATGCTGTGACTTCCAGCACAGAGATTCGGCCCAATTACTGTGACCTGACACACTTGCAGTCTAGTACAGCCTCAAGTCTCTGAGCAATAGCCCAGAGTCCCATGTGAAAGCTGAAACCAAGCCAAACAAGACTGAATTAAACCCAGGAGACAGGTATGCTGATAAACCATGATTACATCACACAGTTTGCTGAGCCATGGTTACTTTGCCTGTTTGAGGACTTTGGGTGAGATACCCACATGCTTTTTAAGAACAGGAGTGTTGACAATCCCGGAGGAAATGACAGGGCTGGCGATATCCTGCCCTGAGCACCCATCAGGGACATAACACAATCCATGAGCTGACTGATGGGTGGGGACCAAAGCTGCACTGCAGAGCAAACTGGGGGCAAGGTGAGGGGCAGCCCCCAGGCAGATCCATGATGATCCTGCCCCTGACAGGGAGGGGTTACACTGCAGAAGCTGAGACAGCTCATAGGGGGAGGAAATGAAACACCAGACATGGTCACTCTGTGTTTGAGAACCACATGGACACATCTTATGCACCAGGATTTTGCAATATTCATAATAAAACAGAATCACAGAACAGTCAGGCTGGAAGGGACCATGGTGGGACATCTGGTCCCACCTCCCTGCTCCAGCAGGGCCATCCCAGAGCACATGGCACAGGATTGTGTCCAGATGGTTCCTGAGTGTCTCCACTGAGGGAGACCCCACACCCTCTCTGGACAATCTGTTCCAGTGCTCAGCCACCTGCACAGTAAAGAAGTTCTTCCTCATGTAGCTGCCAGTTAACAGGGGCTTTCCTCACTTTTCAGCCTTATAAAAGCTTGTGAACAAAGCTTCTGTTTCTGCACTTTACCTATTTTTGCCTCCTACACTCCTTTTCACTACCACTGAGAACCAGAATCCCTAAACTGAAAATACAATAATAATGTGCCATTTCTGGGGAAAAAATAATTATCCAAATGCGAGAATGTACCCTATAAACCTCAGCAGCCCAGTGTCTTCATTCCAAAAGAGAAGTCATGGATAACTGGACTTAAAATGAACCACTTGAGAACAAATTAACCATTGGATTATTTTGTAAATAGCTGTCTATTTCAAGTTCATTGCTTGTGTGTTGCTATAAATAAATGTGCACTATCTAGGACAGTGATGAACAGTGACTGAAGTACCCTGGAAATTCAGCACTGAGTAGTTTTGTTTCTAATCAAATCCTCTGTTCTGTCATCAAGTTCCAGAAATTGATTTCTACATAAATGATAATAAGCAATAAATAATAAATAATATGTTATTATTACTCTAATATTAACTATTTTCCCCATAATATTCTTTTCAATGCTCTTAGGAGATAAAGCCAGTTCTCCTGTGGAAAAGTGGACACAGACAAGAAGGTGGGCTCTGCTGTGACTACCCCTATTGAAGGGCCAAGAGAAGTTCTCTTAGGTAAGACTCTTAAGCAGGCTGATGTGGTATCTGGGTGTTCACAGTAACCACTGTTCTCTCCAGAAGGGAGCAGCACGCAGACAGGGAGAATGAGAACAAGAATCTTTCAAGCAGTGATCTCTGACAGGAGTTTGGGGGTGGATACAAAAGTGGGACATAGCTGTAGGGGAAGCAAATCGTGAGAGGGACCTTAGCCTCTCTTCAGAGGCAGATCACAGGGAAAAAGGCAACTCATAGTAAAAAACAACGTTTTCAGAGCAGACAGCAGAGAATACAGAGGCAGCTGTGGTGAAGCAGCCGGGATTCAGGCTCCCAAGCGATTTCCCAGCCCAAGGGAACAGATGAAGCAGTTGGAATTCAGGCTCCCAAGAGCTTCCCAGCCCAAGGGAACAGATGAAGCAGCCAGGATACAGGCTCCCAAGAGATTTCCAGCCCAAGGGAACAGGTGAAGCAGCCACGATACAGGCTCCCAAGATATTTCCCAGCCCAAGGGAACAGGTGAAACAGTTGGGATTCAGGCTCCCAAGGCTTCCCAGCCCAAGGGAACAGGTGAAGCATCCAGGATGCAGGCTCCCAAGAGCTTCCCAGCCCAAGGGAACAGGTGAAGCAGCCAGGATACAGGCTCCCAAGAGATTTCCCAGCCCAAGGGAATGGCTGGAGGGCTTGCTCCCTCTACTGGAGCATCCTAATAGACCCACAAGAGACTTGCTGGTTTGTCACGCTCTCAATCCCACAGCAAAGCTCTCAGGCTAGGAAATAAAAATTAATGCAGTCTTGATTACCATTGCTGGCTTAGTGCCACAAGAATTTTTTTTAAAGACTATGTAGCTCAACACTATGCAGCTGAAGGCAGAGGGGAGAGAGCTATTTCATTGCTTTTGTTTTGAAAAGAATCAAAATAAGGCATACAAATTGAAATCTGTATTTTTCAGATCATAATTCTGTCAGTTCAGTCAAACTGGAACACAGGAAAAACAGACAAACTTTTCCAGTGTCTCATGCAATGCAGAAGAGCAGCTCTGGCTGCATGACCTTTGCTCCAGGACAGCCTGGCCTTAAACACTTGGGCTCACAATGAACAGCCTATTCCTGCAGGAGGCAGAGAGCAAACCTCTCCCAAAGCATCTCCAGACAAACACAACGTCACCACTGGGGCATTGAGCCCTCAGGTGAGATGGGTCAGAGCAGCCTGAGGCACAGTGACAGCAAGAAACCATGACTCACACACCCACTGACACTGCTCCACTCTTGCTTGAAAGAGTTGGTGCCTGAGACTCCTCTTCCTCTTTTGTAGAATCAGGGCTACCTTTGGCCTCTGAGATTGCAGGATCTTGCACTTTGCAGCTCAGCTTTCTGTCTGCTGAATGAGAGTTCAGGGAGCCTTATTTCTTCGTGCCTTTTTAGACCTTAGGTTACACGGTGCTGGTGTGGAATCTGCCTTCTGTATGCAGCATCTGACATTTGGTACAAAGACCTCCAATTTTAGCTAACCATTACAGGCATGATAGTAAAAAAGGTAAAACATTTGGCTAAAAACTCATCTAGATATATTTTAATGGATTTTGTGGCCTCTCCAGTTTACATGGCTTTTCATTTGCCAACTTTCTGTCATCCCAGTGAATATCTTGGTCCTCTGGTGCTCCATCACCTTATGAATTCAATGGAGGAAATGGAAACCAAGCTCTGTGGCAGTGACAAAGAGGAAGCCTTCAAAAGAGAATTACCATACTGTATAGGAGAAATAGACTTCACAGCTTCTGGGAAGAACCATGGAAAGGTAAGGGCACTGAGGAGTTTTAACCCTTTTACAGTACTGCTGCTCTTAGCAGTAAATGCAGAGTCTGCAACAGTGAGGGTCAATGTGCCACAGAGTGGGGCACCACATTATGCCCCAAGTGAGGACCATGCCTTCCTGAACATGAGTGTGATCTAAAACATGGCCTTTTAATATTCAGAAATCAATCACCTGATTTGCAATTACATGATACAAGTACAGGTGATCACTTTTCCCTTTAAAAGAAAAATCAGTTATGTGCCCTGCTTCCTTCATTTTGTATCCTTTCCCTGGTTGAACCCACCAAAAATTAATCACTATGGATTTTGACATTTTCAACATACTTTTGAGCTGTTTCAAGGTTTTCCTTAAAGTTCTCTCTGTTCTGCTGATATGCAGAGAGGGATGTATATGGATTAACCCATCTCCCCACTAGTCCCATGCACAAGTTAGTACTAGAGCAGAAGGAATCCCTAGCATTTCCCAAAATCTGCTCCAAGGTTTTGTTTCACCATAAAGTCTTAAGCAGAAAAGCAAAATATATACAGAACTGGAAGAAGCAGTAGATTCATGTAACGTGCCCTCAAAAAACAGATATGAAATCAGGTAAATACTTCAGCTTTTGCAGAAACAAAAAACACCTACAGAATTTGTTGGCCTTCCTAGGCTGCCATGAAACTGAAAGCAATTCAAGAGAAAGCTGTAAGGGAGAGTGTGGTTTGTCAGTCTGCAACACAGAACTAACCCATGGAACTGACCCAATTAGTGAGGTGGCAATTATACAAAAGTCTGCTAAGTTAATTCAAGTATTCAGTTCTCCGTCAAATCTTGCTCAAATATTTTTTTCTTAAATATCCAAGTTGATGATAATTTCCCTCTGCATTTACCATGAACAGACCCTTTACAGTATTTTTCCATGCTGTTGTTATTCATTGGGTGTTTCTTGTGTTTGTTGAAGTTTATGAAGGTCCAGAGTACCATTCACCCTGGAATTATATTTGAAGTTATGCTCAACAAATGGAATCTACCGGCCCCCAATTTGGTTATCTCTTTAGTAGGGGGAGAAGAAGATTTTCAGATGAAGCCTTGGCTACGGGACACCTTAAAGAAAGGATTTATAAAGGCAGCTGAAAGCACAGGTGAGTGCTTTAGGCTTCAAAGAAGAAATTTGTATTCCTGATGGATATTCTCACACCTAGCCCCCAGTGATCTGGAAATTACAATGGGCCTGCTCACACAATTATTTTTGAAAATTCAAGACTTTGCTGAAAGCAACCTACCTGTAAATACCTTTGAAAATGAAAATTATTGTATTATAGTAGCAAAAATAAGTTGTTTCAAAGCAAATCTCTCTAGGTAACCATTCCTGAAGTGTAAAATTACCTAATATTATTCCCTCAGAGGTGACATTAGAAATGTAGCATCAAAATGGGACCAAATACAACTGCCCCTCTTTTGTGCCATAACAAAATAATTCTGAGAAGCAATTTGACTTCAACAAGAGTGAATTTAAGTCAAAAATAAGAATTTCTGCATTCTCACATGCAAAACACAGTGAAAATATCTGTGAGCATTTCACAGCAAGCTCTTGGTTAACTTCAGTGCTCCAGACAAGATTGTACCAGCTTTGCTTTTTGTAATGAGACAGCCCAGTACCAGAGCTCTTTTTGGTACTTTTGTGCCACACAGATATTCTCTACCTCCACCGTTCTGTACTTCAGACTAAGCAGCATCAAGATCCCCAGTTTCTTTACGTTACAGATTTGAAAAAGGTCAGCTTGCTGTTTACCTAGGGTTCCCTAAATTCCTTGTCACTGTAACAACACTGCTGTAAATTCTATTATCCTGAAGAATTCACACTCCACACGCCCACAAGAACAGGAGAAAGAACTCCAGATTAGGCAGGTTATGACTGAGATCTTCTGCTAAGAGGTGACTGCACGGGACTTTTTAGGTCTCAGTTCAAGTCAATAACTTCCCTGACTCTGTCCCTTTCCTCTCCCTTGTAAACCTGGTACAGGGATGTTTCTGCTCACATATAGCCAGTGAGTAACTCCAGAGTGGACACAGCATTCTTGATGAGCATATGAACATCAGAGTAAAGATGGCCACGTTGCATCTCATGATATACGAAGAATGTTTGCTTGAGCTCACAATTTCTTCTTGTTTCCCTTATGAAAGTCCTATTTACTTTGCATGTATTTTAATTCTAAAAGCTATATCCTATCAAGACCTGCCTTCATGTTATCTATTTTAAAAAAACCCTTAGATCCAGTACTGTAAGTAATGCTGCTTGACTCACAAACACATTGCAATACAAAGAAGTTCCCTGACAGCTTTTTAAACACCATTTCAGGTGCCTGGATTTTCACCAGTGCTCTGCGTGTGGGAGTGACAAGGCACTTGGTGCAAGCAGTGCGAGACCTTGCCCTGGCCAGCACCTCGTCCACCCTGAGTGTGATTGCCATAGGAATAGCTTCACTCAGGGAAATCCAGCACAGAGAAATCCTGGGAAACACAAAGGTACTGCTTTCCTATTCTGTTGTTTGGGTGGAAGCCACAGCCTTACAGAATTTGTAAGTCGTTGGCAGAACAACTTTGATATAACGTAAACAAGCAAACAAACGAAGAGAAGTGGGGTTTGAGCTGTGTTTTGGGAGGAAGCAGAAACAGAGCTCAAGGGTTGTTGGATGATTCTGTGCCCTCCGTGCCCAGCGGGCGGCAGCATTAGGCATCAGAAAAGAGAGCAGCACAGGGTTGAACGTCAAGAAAATATCCCAGAATAAGGGACTTTGCATGGATTTCTCCCTTGTCCACTTACTGCAGAAGCACTTACTCCTAGCTATTACATAAACACTGCAAAAAGCATATTTTATATTATGAGACACCAGACATAAATATTCCAGGACAAATTTTTCTTTAAGTAGCCAATGAATTGTTATTTAATACACAAAAACTTGCTCAATACAACAGGCTAAAAATACCAGCCATGCAGGATTTCACCTAGTTATAGGGAATCCTCAAACTCGGGGGGATCAAAGTTCTTGGAAGAAAACAGAAACAACACACCAACAAATAAAAACCTCACCCAACAAAACTGTTGCTGAAAGCGTTGCTGCTGAATGGACACAAAAGTGGAGAGAAAAAAAAGAAATAGCATTCCCTTCTGTCACTGGACATATAGTCTGTCCTAAGTAGGACATTATAACAATCAATCAGGTGTTTAATGACAGTGAGTGACAGTTTCTCTGTACTATTTATACCCTGCAGAAGCTAAGAAACAAATGACAAAGATAGCCCTTTGAATTCATGCTTAGTTGTTCTCTCACACAGGCCTGAAAGTACCAGCTAGAGGCTGAGAGACCATAGCCAGACCATACCAGCAACTTATTGTCATTGGTCTTTTTTACCTTTTTTTTTTTTTTTTTTGCCAATGACAGCTACCTGTGTGCTCTACCATGTGGGACTCTTTGCCTGGAAGACTTTAACCTATTTGTGTGGCAACCGGGCCAAAAAGGCCTCAAAGGAAAGAATTTGGTGCATCTTGTTTGTGAATTTTGTTCAGGAAAGTTTGCAAATGCAAAATATTTCACCTCCCTTCTAGGCCAAGTGATGAAAATGCATCTGGATCTTTTCCTATCAGCAGCTACAAAACAAGCGCATGCTCTTTTTATTTTCTCCCCCTCAACTAAATCCCAAATTTTTTGTCACAGGATATTTTGCAAAGAGCATTCTTGACCCTATGACTTCTGGCACAGATTACACCGAAAGATATTTTGGTTTTTAGTCAGTAACTTAAAGACAAAGGAACTACAGACTACAGGGATGTTGATCTAAACCCAACTCTCTCTATATTTGGCACTAACACAAGCAGCTTGTTGTATAAAATAGGGCTAACAACCCCCACTAGCAAGGAGAAAAACAAGCCCTGAAATCAGTGGATTGCTCCTGTCGTAGTAAAGCAGATGGGATTTAGTTTCTTTATGTAGGAAAACCTAATTTTTTATTTACATAACTAATTTTTATATAGTTTTCATAGCTCTTGTGTTCAACTCTAATTGGTTAGTAGTTTTTTGCTAGTTAATTTACTGGTTAGTAAATGGCATTTTGTGTGTTTATCAAATTTCTCTATTCTTGGATAGTTTACATAATTTTTTACAGATTCTCATGGGGCAGATTTCTTGTTTTTGTAGGTGTGAACAGCTCTGTTACTAGAATAGTTTGTTTTTTTAACTGACTTTTTATTCCTTTGATTCTTTCTTATGGCAACTTATAGGCTAAGTTGGTAATTCAACAGAACAAAGTCTAATTTTATAAAATTTTTATAATATCATTACTTATATACAACACCCTCCTATCTCTTCTGTGTTAATGGTATGCTTTAAACATCATTGAAAGATCACATCCACGTTTTCAGGGAATAGAGAGGAAAATCCCCAAAGGCTTTTTTCAATTGGTTGTTGTGTCTCAGGGTCCTAATCAAAGGCCAGATCTTTGGTGAGGAGGATTAATGTTACATGGCAGCAGAATAGAGGCACACCCTCTGTCAAAGCAAAATCTGAAGGAAATTAGTTATGTGAAGGAGGTTTCCCCAAGGAAGGGGAGACAGAGAGAAGAAAGTGAAAGAAACATGCAAGTTTACTGCTTTTTAGTGTGGGGGGAAAATGCAATACACAGTGACAACTGCCAAGATTTTAAACAGTTGTGCTAATCTGCCTGTAAGCAAGAGGACAGTGATTAGGAAAATGAAAAAGAATAATCAAACAGAATAATCAGAATTTACAGCCTGGAATGCTGTATCGAAGTGGATGGGCAACAGATAGAAAGAAAGATTTATTAAGAAAGAAAGGGGAGTTTGAAAAAGTGTACGTATAGAAGCCCATGTGTAGTGCAATATTTAGAACAAAAGACTGTAGCAGGGGTTCTGTTTTACCTAGAAGATGAGTTTGTGCAAAAAAACCCATAAATAATTTAAAGGTATAACACCACTCACCCAAAATAAAAGAGGATTCCCCTTTCTAAAATCTGTCTGCCACTCTCTCTTTTAGAATGTAATTTCCAAACTGAGAATAACCATCAGATTTCATACAACCCTGTCAATTGAGTAAAGCTCTGTATAAATTGACAGGGACACGGAGCAGGCTAACTCAATCACTGGCCTAAACATGGACAAAACACTACTGAAATGAATAGTTTGCCCCTCTTCACCCCAGCTGAGGCTTCACATCATACACAATTATCAAGTCTCATGGCCCTTTCCATAAACCATTCCAAAACCTGCATTCCAGAGATGATGATTGATATCCCTATATTTTGCAGAAGCCAAGAGGGAAACTTCAGGGACTCCAGCTATCAGTCCTGCCAAATCTGCTGCTTCCAGAAGGAACAGATTTTCCATCTTCACTCTTTCTAAGGGTCTATCAAAGTGTCTCCCAGGTGGTGAGCTGTGTCAGGGTGCAGACAGCACAGAAACGGAGAGGAAGGATATTGAAACACGGGCTGGGCTTTGCAGAGAGCACTGACATCTCCCCTCCTCCCTCTAGAGTGAAAGCCTTGTACACTACCAGTCAGATGACAGCACCCAAGGCCCCCTGTATTCCCTGGACCACAACCACTCCCACCTCATTTTGGTGGAGCACAGCACGGCAGAGGAGCCGGACGGAACCGCCAAGCTGCGCCTGGCCTTGGAGAGGCACATCTCGGAGCAGCGCACGGGATACGGGGGTGAGCAGCCTCTGGGCACGTCCAGCCTGAGCCAGGCTGACAGCACAGCAGGGGCCTGGCCCTAGCTGCGCCCTAGTCCTAGCCCTAGTCACCCCTAAAGGTGGCTCCAGCCTCAGATGGGCCTACAGAGGCAAGACCAAGTCGACACATTTGTCATTGTGTGAGAGGCACGATGACGGTAACTCCTGACGTTGAGAAAGGTGCTCTTTGAAGCAAAAATCTGGGCTTTTATGGCATCTCCTTAAATGGAGCTCAAAGCCGGCCTTCAAAGCACAGCTCAGATTGCCTTAAAAGACAACATATGGAAAATAAATCCAGCTTCAAGTGCCTTTACCCGTGGTTCTAAGAGGTTGATAGTCACTGTTGAATACTTTCATCGCCTCTCACACACAGGGTCTTGAATTGCTCCCACACTGGAAGAAAAGACTTGTTCCAAAGCCCCCTGAAATATTTTAAGCCATATTTGTTTAGGGATAACATCTTATCCTGGGTAAACACCATAGCATCTAATGCCCGTCTGAATCTGTGATCTTTTTTGTAATAAGAACTGAGTTTTGGGCAGGTCTAGTATTTGTGGAAAAAACTCAGTGGTTGAGAGGTTTTTACCTTTGCTTTGTTTGTGCCAGACATGCAGTGCTAGCACAGCTGAAACAGGAGGGAGAGCTCACTGGCTCACAGCTGTGTGCATCAATGGAATCTCCACTTTCACAGCCCATGGGGTGGTAGCACAGAGGAACCTGAGGGCACAAACACACCTGAAGAATCCTTACCTGGTGACTCAGATGGGAACAACCACAGGCAAGGCTGTAAGGGTAGCCTGAGGTTGCAGTGCTGAGAGTTACAAAGCAGCCTCTTTCTGCTCACCAGCCAAATCTGATTGAACAAATCTCAGGGGAACAGAATTCTGACAAACAATGCTGATTCATATGACAAATACTTTGCTGGAACATACTGAATTCAGTGTTATCTTCTATTGACAAAACCAATGTCATTCCTTTATGCTCATTTATAAACAAGCTGAGCAAAGCTATGCGGCTTTACTATAGTACAACACTTTAATAAGGTCATGAGGAATTTCCTTGTTTAAAAAAACACCAACTAGAAGTCTTTAAGAATAATTATTTTATCTATATTTATATTTACTGAATATTTTTTACAATTGAGGACTTTCCAGATTCACAGCGTAAAGACAGAATCCACCTGACTCTCCTCTGGCTAAATTTTAACTAAATCTATGGCAAATGAAGAATATTTGTAGCCTGAAACATACTTGAGGAGCCTGTAGTCCCAGAGGTCACTCTTCAAAGAGCATCACATTAGAGAGGTGTGACAATGCCATGCCATTCAGTAAAACAAATTAAATTTCTTGCCAACCATATCCTGGCTACAGCTCAGTCCAACCTTATCTCTGTAGTCATCTCAAAAGAAATACAAAAAATAGCAAGTAGAGATCTGTACTGAATTTTGGGAGATCTACAAAGGGAAACATCAAAAAATTGTTTGAACCAAATGCCTTTTATCTTCCATCTGAAAGAGGCATTAATCTCTCGATATTACTGTTTTGATTGAGCTCCTTCAGGCCAATCTATGCCTTTGCATTGCAGAATTCAGCATTTGCAGTAAAAATCATCCAGAACTCTGTGGGCCCCTGTGGGGGGATGGCTTAGGACAGGGACCCTGACCTCCTTTCTTCCCTCAATACCATGACATGTTAAATATTTCATTAGCATTTCTTTTCAAAGTATCAGACTGTGTTGTTATTAATCACCACACCAGGCTGTGCTGAATGAAACTTTAAGCTGTTTAAGCAGAGTAATAAATAGATGGTTCCTATCAACTTTTATCTGACTCATCCTGCCCAGTCTACACAGTCAGCCTCTTCATATTCTTAAATCCTCCTTTCAGAAGGCTTTTGTCCTGGATTCCAGTCCCCCTTCCAGCACACACTGGGCACGTGCATAACTCCCAGGACGAGCTGAGAGCTTTTCACCTCACTGTGTCTTGCTGGAAGATGCCTCTCTGGAAACCCACCAGCCCTGGGCTGCACCCTGCACCCTTGCTCCCCAGCCTGACACCCCTGCAGTAAATAAATAACTTTAAAAGCCAGCACTGGCATGACACACAGAGGTGCCAATATCCATGTTTTGCAGCTGAGGTCAGAACAACCTGGACTGCTTGCCAGGGATCACACAAAATTTCCAAGGCAAAGGTGCCTTTGTCCTGAATCCTAGACCCTCTGTTAGGTCAGTGTTATTCTCTTCCCTTGCCACATCCTTCTGCAGGTTCATGTGGAGACCAAAACAGCACATAAGAGGAGAAATATTTTCAAGGGGTCAGCAAAACAGCAATAGGCTGTTTAAAAAGCTGCTACTTTTTAAAAATTAAACCTTCTGTTTCGCAGGAACAGGTAGCATCGAGATCCCCGTGCTGTGCTTGCTGGTAAATGGAGGACCAGGCACACTTCAGGTAAGAAGCTGTTTTCAGCTTTGGAAAAATAAATAAACTGGTGCCAAGTAATTAATGGAAAATTTGGCTGTATGACAAACACATCTATTGGCACTTTACATGAAGTCAAAACTCACATCTATACACCATTAAGGACTGAATTCTGTTAATATTAAATTTGAGAGTATTTGTTTGGGAGAAATATTTACTTTTGAATAGGCACCAGCTGATCATTAAAACTTCCATTGCTAGCTTGTCCAGTGGGATGAAAGAATCCAAACCCAAAACAAACCCACAGAAACCAGGTCCAGATCTAGGGAAACAGAAATACTCTGTTATAACTTGAGGGGGGGGAAAAAAAAAGAAAAAAAAAAAGAAAAAAAAAAAAGAAGAATCTTTTAGTGCTGTTCAGCCCCAGAGCTCAGAGGAAGCACAAGACCAGGTTTGCTGGATGTGCCATTTAATATGGGTGTCCTGGTTCCACTGAGCAAAAGTGCCTTGTGGGATTGAAGACTGGAGTGTTATCTGATAATAATCCCGAATCTTCTTCAGCAAAGGATCAGTTTTGATTTTTTTCCTGAGTGGTTCTACAACTTAAAGAACCTGTTAACAAGGAGATAGTCTTTGATTTTTATTCTACTTTACTTATCTTTTTTATAATACTGTCAGTCTAGAAAACCTTTAGAGAGACGTAATTTAACTATAATTTAAGGTTTCCAGGTGCTGAGACTGTGACATGCCAGCTGGTAACCCCTTTCCAGAATAATGACTCCTTTCTGGGGATGTTTTCTAGTTTCAATTTCTGGTATCTTGTCATAACTTTTGTCAGCTGGACTAAAACATGCACTTATATTAGAAATCTCTCTGCTTAAACAAAGATTACATCACCTCATGAGCTTGATTCCTTTCTTTCATGAGAAGCTAAATATTGCAGTGTTTCCTGTATCTTTGGTTTAGAAAAATCCCATGTTATGACATCTAAATCCTCTTTTCAAAGTTTTACAGAACAGTGTGACTGGAAGACAAAAAGTGAATGGCTGGAGATCCTCTAAACTGATATGTGCTGGAAATGGATGACTGGCCACACTTTTTTAGAATACCAACTTCTTAAATGGATTTCTTAAAATGGATAATACACACCAGAGACTACAAACAGTTTTTAAAAAAACCTCAATATCTAAACTAAAGAAAAAAACCCTTGCACCACAATTAAATCAATGCACTCTTGTGCAACTCCAGAGGAAGAAACAGACTGGCAGCAAAGAGACATTTTTGCAATTATGATGCCATAGCCTCTGCTCTCCTCTCTCAACAACCTGCCTGACTCATTCTAATTGCACAAGTAATAGAATTAGTAGCCTTTAACTCCTGTAGTTGCTATGATTCAGTGTTTTTTTCCTGTAGCTCAATGTTGTAATCCCAGAGGCAAATTCCTGATTTTCAGAACATATTGCCAGGTTTAGCAGACAGAAAAAAAGCCTATACAAAAAAGCGTGCAGATAATTTCTGTACAGGGTTACTCCCTTGCACTTGACTATGCTGAAACAGAGACTTCAAGGAAAAAACAAAAAAAGTCAGGGTCAAATAAATTTTATGCATTGTTTGTCCAAATCGGGTTGCTTAGCTACTCAGCTGATGTGTCATGAAAAGAAGCATAGTCAGAGGCCATACATGGATGACCTGCTACAGAATTCAAAAACTCCTAATAGCTTAGAGGAGTCTGGACTGATTCCATAGTGAATCTGATTTAGGTACACATTCATTCCTGGTTTGCTAGAAGTTCTTCTCTTGAAAAACATTTTCTTTCCACTTATGAATTTTAAAAACATCTTATTTTAAACTACAGAGAATTTGCAGCGGGTTGGAAAATTCTGCTCCCTGGCTTATCTTAGCAGGGTCTGGAGGTACAGCTGACATCCTAGCAGAGTTCATGAATGACCCACAGCTTATCATGCCAGAAGCTGTTGAAAAGCAATTTAAGGAGAAATTCCCTGCAGAGAGCTTCTCGTGGAAGGACATTCTCCAGTGGACAGTGACGGTGAGTTCACAGTTTGATAAACCATCATGTTCACAAAGCCATCCCCTAACACTTGCAGCTTTGGTAGCCCCTTCAGTACAGGTTTGGCAAGAAGCTGCTCAGAAATTTTGGGAACTCCAGTGCTTTGACACTGGTGCCATAGAATGCCTCTCTAGCATTAAAAATCAAGTGGTCATTTGGTCATGCAAACTGCTTTGTTGCCCCAGGAATTCACTGAACACTGAGGGCTCTGTCCTTCCTCAATTACTTCCTCAAGTAACAGCCAGCACCCAGGAACCCAACAGTCCTCCTGTGGGACACCAAGCATTATTTATATCCACAGCTGTGCAGCCTGTGCAGCTGCGACAGAAGAGACCTAATTCATGACCTACAGCTGTTAAATGGAAACCACGCTGTGGATAAGCTTGAATAAATTAAGTAGAATGAAGCGTGCTTAGAAATGATCCTATCTATTGTTATGGGATAACTGTTATTATCAGTTCCTTGTTCTTTAAGTATCATTGTTCTTAAAACAGAAAGACAAAACAGATTCAGAGATCTTCTTTACTCTTTGTCTTGGGGTACATTTGCACAAGCCTTTTAGGAACAAATGCCCACTCTGAGATTGTCCTTGTGTGAAGAGTACTGTGTGCCTCTGAGATAAACCAAGTCCTCCTGACCTGGCTCACCACTTATTCTTTGCATTCCCTGCCATAATCCTCAGCTTTAAAAGTTTCTCATATTAATTCCATTAGGAAGAACTTTACCAATCACTAACAAAAAGGGATGAAAAGCACCTGGAAGCAATATTGCCAGAGGCTCACAAAGTCTCAGTGCAGCTGCACTGCGAGAAAGAAAACTCAATAAATAGAGAAGCAGAAGGAAAGATAAGAGTACTGTATATATATCAATATTTGAGGACTTCTACTCAGAGAAGAGTTAGAGACTATGCTTTTAAATAAACAACTCAGAGAGCAAAACTTAAATGTCAAAGCACGATGAGGTAAAATGAAACTAATGTTATGCTGGCTATAACATGACTTTGAGTAAAATAAGAATGTAAGTTAAGGAAGGATCTTTTAATTAAAGCACTGCTCTGGTTCTCAGGATATCCAAATTCTGTTTCTCCTATCCTGGTCGGTCACTCAGAAAAGGCAGTAAAAATCCCCCCCCTTAGGAGTTATTTATATATGGGAAACAAATAATATTGGCCTGCTTCCCAAACCTCAGCTTTATAACTAGAATGTAAATTTTTGGGAAATACCATCTGGGTGATCTCTCCTGGGCATTTGGGCACTATTGTGCATCCAGAGGACATTGTGTAAAATGACTTTTGTTTCGACTCCAAACAGATTCAGAATATTATTTCACACCAACATCTTCTAACTCTGCACAACTTTGAGCAAGACGGTTCAGAAGAACTAGACACAGTCATTTTGAAAGCCTTAGTAAAAGGTGAGATACAATAAGCAAACATTGTAATGTTTGTCTTACTTGACTTCTATGCCATAAATATATTTCCTATTTTTCCAGTGCAAATTCAGTTGACTGTTGGATCAGATATAATTTCTGATGCTCTGTTCTTTTCTTGTTTATTGACAAATTAATTGTGGCAGTTACTGTAACTCTTGTGAGCTTTCTTTAAACTAGTGTTTGCTTTTAAATTTCATGCTATTGTATGGTTCTATTTCAGCCACTCCTTTATTTCACTAATTGCTTCTCTTAATAACATAGGCTGTAAAAGAACTGAAATATACTGGAGCAGTATATTATTCCAATTAAACCATAAAAGAAACCTCTATGAAAACAGAACCAAAACCCGCAAGTAGACCAAAACTACCTTTGTTTCAGAAACAATCCATTTCTCCTATAAGAAATCTCCACTATATCTTCTGAAAGAATACATTACTTGTGCTGCCATCTATTTCAGTTTCTGTTAACTTAATGGTTTCTGTTAGCTTAAACTTAGCATGGGAGCAAAAAAAGAAAAAAAGACATTCTGTTCCTGATGTGCCAATTGACACAAGGCAAAACCAACAGCCAGACCTGTCCCCTGCTTTCTGCAGGCCAGAGTCCCTCTTAATATCCAACAGCCATTAATGCTTAATGCTGTTAATAGGGTTCATCTAGAAAAAAATAACATTTTTGAATATTAATGCTTCTTAATTTAGGAAAACATTGCTGTGAAGGGTTTCTGGTTAAGCAACCCACAGATTTGTGACAGCTGAAGGAGAGTTTGCATTGCTAATCAAAGTACCAATACTATATTAAACTCAAACATAACTGTAAAGCTGAAACATAACTGTAAAGTACTGACTTTATTTGCATTTCCTATTTTTTTTCCAGCCTGTAAAAGTCAGAGTCAGGAGGCTCAGGAATATCTGGATGAACTGAAACTGGCAGTGGCCTGGAATAGGGTCGACATTGCTAAAAGTGAAATATTCAATGGTGATGTGGAGTGGAAGGTACCAGGCTTTTTTGCCTTAGAGGACACCCAGTGTATGTTCCACTGTGTACAGGGCACTGGAGCATCCCAAAAGATGGCTTTAGTTTTTACCACTACCTGCACACTCTACTGAGAGATTGGGCAGGGGTTTATACTTCCTGAGGCTGTTTGTCTTTCTGGGCCCCTGTATGATAATGGCTAAAGACAGAGGAATAACTCAGTGGTCATCATCCCTTTCTTGAGCTGTTTGAGAGCAACAATCCTTCTCCCCTTCTATACAGACCTTTAAAGCAAACAAACCAAAGCACAAGAAGCCGGGAAATATTACTGTTAGAAGGTGGCATGAAGAATGTCACTGTTTTCAGCTGCTGTATAAATGCACAGTGTGGTAGGTACCTCACACCGAGTCCTACAGCACACAATTTATGTTGATGCTCTAACATTAATGCTGGCACCGACATTTTGTCAGAGAAAAATGAAGAGAGTTCCACCTCTTTCTCATTGTACTCACTGTTGACTGGTGGAAGACAAAATGTGCCTGTCCTCATGTTAAACCTAACCTCTCTCATCATCCATCCATTATTAACCCTCAAAATTTCCTTTTATCGTTTGTTTTTTTTTTTTTCCTCTTTCATCAATCTAGTCCTGTGACCTGGAGGAAGTGATGATGGATGCTCTAGTGAACAACAAACCAGAATTTGTGAAGTTATTTATTGACAATGGGGCTAACATATATGAATTCCTGACCTACAGTCGGTTGCAGAGACTCTACTGTTCCATTTCTCAGAAATGTCTGCTCTATGAACTTCTCCTGAAGAAGCATGAAGAAAGCAAACTGACCTTGGCAGGGCGCACTGGTCAGCAGCAAAGTGACCAGAAGGACACCTGCCCCCTCTTCACTCTCACTGAGGTCTCCAGAGTTCTCAAGGATTTTCTTGATGATGCATGCAAAGGTTTCTATCAAGACCTCAGACATGAAGGCAAGAAGAAATCTGTGAGTCACAACTCTGCATCATTGCTCCCCTCCAATTTAGAATTTGTACAATCTTAACTAGGTCTAGTCTTTGGGGTGGGGCAGGGAACAGCTTTAGTTAAAGAAGTATGGGGAATACAAATAAGATATACATTTACTAGGGAGTAATTAGACATAAAAATAGTGGTCTGCTTTTCTTGTACAGAATTTCAAGAAGTAGTACTGGAAAGGCAATTTTCTTTTTAGGAGAAGGAAAAGCAGGCAATGGAGATTTTCAATCCCAGGTCTAAAAATGGTCACGTTTGTACACAAAACTATTCTCAGATTTATACTCTGTACAAGTAGATGAACTCATATATTGATATTCAGTAATATCCAGAATTTGATATTTGCCTTTAGATAATTTTAGTCTTTTTAAGGAGTGCCAGAACACAGAGCAAGAAATAGGCACAATTATGTGATGTGGCCCTGGCAAGTGTGCTGGCCAACATATGACAAGGAGAATATGTGATGGGGGGACCAGTGTGGAATGTCTATAATCCACAGTGGTGCAATAGATGCATCATCATTTTTGCATTTTGACAGTGAATTTAACATTAAAACTCCTAAGTACCAAAGTGCTTGCAAAAGCATGGAAAATAAGTTTGGGTGCAAGGTTTCAAAACAAAGATGAATAAAGAATTTTCATTAGAGTTCAGTTTCTGACAAACTGAAAAAATTAAGCCTTTTGGTATTTGCCAAGTTCTAATTACACCTAAAAAATTGTTAAAACTAGAAACCAATTAAAAAAAAATCTTGAGACGTTCAATTACTTTTGCTTTGATAAAGCCTAGCTAAATTAATTAGTAGTATGAAATGTTAAGTTTGAATCTACTCAACGTTTCTTCATTCACAAGGATGAACAGCTTGAGACAATACTCTGAAGTCACCAAGCATACTCCAGACTTACAAACTTGCCAGAAATAAAAATTTGCCCCCAGAACCTCACTTAGCCTTTCTGGCATTTGGCAGCAAGTGAGCTAAAGCCCAGTGCTGTAGATAAGGCCCAGGTCAGAGATCAGTTCCTGCTGCCTACTCGCTTTTTCCTTTTAAAGCTTCTTCCCATGGCTGAATCCCATTATCACTGGCAACAGAAAAAGCATCACAGTACTGGGAAACTAGCATCACTGCTGCCAAATTGTGTGTCTTTTTTCAAGTTAGGAACTAGTGGTTACAAAATCAGATGAGGCTTTTAGGGTATCTTTGTCTCCTGCAAGGCTTTCAATGCAATTTAATTGATTCAATAGCTCACTACAAACTGAAGAAACACCCCACCCTCCCCTCCCAAAAATCCCCCCAAAGTGCCATTAAAATAAATTTTAACAGAATCTCATCATTTAATTTTTTAAAAAATATATTCTCACAAAACCCTGTTTAAATGAAAATAAATATACCCTGGTTGCTTCTAACCAACACAATAGATAAAAAGGTAGTTATTTTAAAATATACTTAAAATTCAGAACTTGACCTAAGTGGCCACACTTCCTCTAGACTATTTTATTATCAAGTGCTAAAGGAATAAGCAGTGTTCTACTTAAACTGCTCTCTGCATGAGGGAAAGGTTTCTCAAAGGAAGGACTAAAAAGGGGTATTGACGTACTCTATTCTTGTCCTGTACAGGCCTTGGCGAGATTTATTTCTGATGAAATGAAATGCCTTTTGTTCCCTTTTCTCTGAAGCCTTGTCCTCTGTGGCAGCAGAGCAGAGTCAGATATAATTGAAGGCAAGCTCCGATTAGTTAATCACAGGTTTTTCTCGTCTGATATTACACACCAGTGGTGAAACCCCAGATTCAATAAAGCCAATGAAAACTTTAGCATTGGCTTCAATGGAGCCACCATTTGATCCAGAATGTTCTCACACATATTGGGTTATATTGGGGACACAAGGATCCTTTAACTTGGTACAGAATGAGCTAATTACCTTTTGGTCCTACTGAAAAGTCAAAGAAATATGAAGTAGCCAGTGAGGCTGAGAGCATCTTAGATCGTGTCATTTGCATGGAATGAGACTGCCAACCAGATTTTGAATTCTTCAAACCATATTTCAGGACAAAACAAACACAAAGGGATTACCTGGGCCCTTGGACATGAACCAGAAAAGTGAAAATCCTTGGAGGGATTTGTTTGTATGGGCAGTACTTCAAAACCGGCACAAGATGGCAAACTATTTCTGGGCTATGGTAAGCTGCGAGCTGTAGCTGCTTCGGGTGAAGTAACGCCATATTTCAAGTTTACGAGATGTTTTTTTGCTCAGCCTTGCACTCAGATGACAGATGGGTTAGTTTCCAAAACACGAGAGGTGGCATTTATGGGCCCTTTCATCTCTGCGTGGCTCCTGCCCGCGGGGCCAGGGGGAGCAGGAGCAGGTGTAAATCAGCCCTGCTCCCGATGGGTCCCAGCTCCCAGGAGCAGGGTTTGTGCCTCCGACAGTCGGCGATTGTTTGGCTCCCAGCGTGACCCGACGGAAGTGGGAGCAGGGAAGCATCTCCAGCTTACGTGCTGGACGCGTAGGGAGCAGCATGACGCGCTCCAAGGCTGCGCTTCGGGCTGGCATAATCGGCTCCTGTCTCACAAGCCAGCCCTGTCCCCCACATGTGGGAGCCTCCCTGCCCCCATACAGAGAGAGAGAGAGAGCTCTCAGCTCCATCCCTGGCCTTGCAGAGTGGCACATCTGGCCAGAGGCCGCCAGGCTGCGTGCGTGCACATTGGCACCTTGCAGGGCCCTGCTCTGGGCCAGGGCTGTGCCTCTGCCAGCTGGGCTCCCTCCTCTCTCCTGCATCCCTGCCCCAGCACAGCCATGCTGGAGCTATCTCAACACAGGGAGAATGTGTTGCTCTATTTCCAAGGCATATTGTTCTCCTTTCTGAGCTCGATCGCTATCCCAAATCAGGTCCCTCTAAGAGCCTGGACCCAGAAGTCTCCAGCCTTACAAAGCACAAGAACTACTAGTAAAGAATCATGGAATAGTTTGGGTTGGAAGTGGCCTTAAAGATCATTCAGCTCCAAACCCCAGCAATGGGAAGGGACACATCCCACTAGACAGGTTTGCCCCATCCAGCCTGGCCTCAAACACTGCAGGGATGAGGCATCCACAACATGTGGTTTTAATTCTCAAATATCATCAAAACTATCAATACGATCATCATTTTTGGCTTTCAAGTCTGTTTTGGAGGGAAGATTTTTCTCGAAAGGCATGAACTTTTTGCTGTTTGATGTGTTGCACAGTGCAACACATCGAACGTGCATCATAGTGGTGCATTTCCCTGTTCAGAAATGCCCTCCAGTGGAGGGCGGCAGCAGCGCCCCTTTCAATTCCACAGGGCCAGGAGGGTGTAGCTTCAGCTCTGGCAGCCTGCAAGATCCTGAAAGAGATGTCCCGCCTGGAGACGGAGACCAAAGCAGCCTGCATAATGAAAGAGGCCAAGTATGAGCAGCTCGCGGTGGGTAAGTAATGGCACTTTTTGAATGGCATTGAAAATTTATGAAGGAACTGCCATTGGAAGGCAAGCAAGTGAAAAAAATACAGTTTCAGACGTAAAAGGTCTGCTGTCATGAATAATTTAACAGCCTTGCAGCACAGGCAGTCCCAAACATTCAGATACAGAGGAAAGATTTAAAACCCACTCATTTTGGAAAAATCTCTCTTCCAAGACAGGCCCCCTGGGATGCACAGATACTCTCCTGCTGCTTGTTGGTATTTTAATTGTCTGATCTTAGTACAAGGTGTGTTACAGTGATGTGAAAGATAGAATAGCCAAAACACTTGCAGGCTCACAGCAGCCTGCTCTTCCTGCAATATCAATCTTGCTCTGTAAGGGCCACTAGAGCAACAAGTTTTAAGTTTTGTCATTGCAGCTAAAAATAATTTGAGATTACCTCACCCAGAAGAGGGCCAAGTGCACTGCAAGCTGCAGTGAGGCTCAGGCTGGTTTTGCAGCAGAGGAGATGCCCCTCCCTACAGCAGTCAGACCCGGCATCCGCAATGCTGGAACGCTGAGCCCTCGCCCCTCTGCTCGCTGCAGGAACAGATGTCTGCACACAAGCTCCTCTGCTGACCTGACTTCAGTCCAATCCTCACCTTCACTGCTGTGAGGAGAGGGCTTTAAAATGTGCCCCACATGGAAACAAACACAGGGGCTCCTCTTCCTTTGAGGCAGTTCATCCAGCAGCTGAAGGCTCATGCGGGCGTTGCTGCATTGTTTACACAGAGATCACATTTTCCCTTCTTTTCACATTATTTACAAAAATTAAAAATGAACTTCTCATATAATCACGGGGCTCGAGTAATTTAGTCATGGAATTATGAGGCCTAATCCAATACACAGAACTTCTGCTTCTCAGCTTTGATTAAGTCTTAGATCAGATCCTCAGTTTTAATTTCTGGCCTGGATTATGCAAAGCAAACTTTCTTTAAGAATGATAAATACCACATCAACCACATCAACAATTTTAAATGCACTTGACCTTCTTGCCCAGCCTCACAGTGTAGCAAGGTGTAGGCTGGCTTGGGAAAGGTACTGAGATAATCAAGTGAATCAGTAGAATGGAACAGACATGAGAAGTCACAACTTGTCTAATGAGAACATCTTGATTTTATTTTTTTTTTTTTGACTCATTAAATTTATCCTGGTTTCTAAGCTCCAGGACCAGTTTCTCTGGAAACAATTATGCCATAACACTCCACCAAGTCTAATATTATTTTATGTCAAGTAGCTCTGTCTCAAAATGTCTACAAGACAAAGCTGGGCTGCTTATCTTCTTTAGTCTGTTCAGGAAAGTGAGGACAGCATGACAGCTCATCCTTCAAAGTTTAAGAGGATCACCCAAGAGATGTATTTTTTGTCTGTGTTTCCTTCATATGGCAGAACTGTTTAGTGAGTGCTACCACAACAGTGAGGAGAGAGCATTTGCTCTGTTGGTGAGGAAAAATCAGTACTGGAGCAAAACCACGTGCCTTCAGCTGGCCACAGAAGCAGATGCAAAGTCTTTCTTTGCACATGATGGTGTCCAGGTAAGTTTTACATGCCCCCAGGCCCTTAAGTTGGGCACAGGAGAGGGCAATACAGGAACTGAACAACCCCAATGAAAGTATTCCCCTGAGAACCATTTTTCAGAGAAGGGACTCTTCTCTCCCCCTAGCAACAGACAAAAAGGACATTATACCATGTCCTTGCCAAAACAGCACAATTCCCCTTTCCCCACCTCTCATCCAGCTGGCACACAGACCAGTGTGCTGAGGAGAAGGTTTAGCCCTTAATCCATCGTGTGCTTTTTTGCTTTTTATTCCTTTCTTGCTCACAGAGAAGCATCAGAAAAGCACTATAAGTCTGCCTGGGGCATAATGAAGCTGCTCCAAGATGTGAGGTAACTCTTTGTTCAGATTCAAGAGAGAGCTCACTGATAAAAGTTAAATTAAATTACTATTCAGCTTTGCTCTCACAACCTGCCTTCTCTCTGCATACACAAAGCAAAATTAAGAGTGATGCTGCTTTTATCTCCCAGTGCCTGACTTGGGCTTCCTTAGTACTACAGATGTTGCTTAATTCCATTTGGCTCGCTGCTCTTTCCACTGGTCTCCAAATAACTCTTTGCATACTCCACATCTGCAGAAGGACACACAGAGAACCTGTTTGCTCTGAAGCTGTGAGGTTTCCAGAGCATTCACTGTTTTAGGAATCACTGAACATAGGTGTGCTTCATCTGCAAGTATCTTTTTGTGGTATTAAAGCCATCTCTTCTCTTCTTGACTTTCAGGCCTTCCTGACAAAAATATGGTGGGGAGACATGTCTACAAGCACACAGATCCTCAAGTTAATCTGTGCATTCTGGTGTCCCTTCCTAATCTACACCAATTTCATATCATTCAGGTATAAACATAACTATGTGGGTACAAGAGATAAATAATTAAGTGATGAAAAATAAGCCATAAAAATATTCAGACTCAAAATTTCTCCCTGAAGTGATTAAAACAGTAGCATCACCTAATATCACCTAACCAAATAATTTTTCTATGGGGCTGAGTGATTTGTGTGTCCTGTTACATACTTAAAAGATCAATGCCATGGTTTCACAGAGATCATTCTATTTTGCACAGTCCACAGGAAAGCCTGTTGGAATTCTGTCAGCTCCAGATTCTACACAGCAATGTGTAGAATATCTGCAGCTGTAGAACCATTTGCTTTTAGATTTGGAGATGCCTGGCTCAAACCTCAGTATCTTATCCAAGGAAAACAGCCATCAGAAAGCAGTGCTATCAGCCACAAGCCTTGATAACCATAAGTCAAGCTTAAAACCATGGGACTGACATTAAATTATCAATCAAAATCAATTAAGATTTTCAAATTCAGTGCCTTAATATCTTTGGTTTTCTTGAAAAAGAGTCCATGCACTATAAACATCAAGAAAACAAAACAAAAACCCCCACACTACAAAAATCAACCAACTAAATCAAATTTAAAAACAGAAAAGAAAAAAAGAGCAGCCATTCTGCTCAGGTGGTCATAAAAATTATGGATCTGAAACTTTAGGAAAACCTCAAGCATTCAGAGAATCATATACAAATCAGAAGAATTAGCAATATGAAATGACATGTTATTATGAAATACATGTTTCTTGACTCTTAAACTACATAAAAAGCAAGAAGAAAACTTGTTTGGCAATGCTGATTTAAGATTTGCCTTCTGCTAGTGTCACTAAAGATGATCTTCTGGCTCCGAAATTCAAATTCATTTAATGTGATATTTTGTCAAAGTTTTCATGGAAAGGTTTGAATTATTATACATAATCAAAGCAATTCTTTCCAAATTTCCATATTTTTGCATCCTTTTCCTGGAAATGCAAGAACTGTCATATGTCCCCCACTGCTTCTGGCATCTCTCTTCTTAATTGCTACTAAGAGTAACTAGGAATGGAGCATTGAGCAATTCTCTTCTAAGACTGACTGGGGTTTACTTCTGCTCAAATTCTAACTAGTTTGAGGAAACTGAGCATCGTGCTCCATTTTTGTGAAGCACACCGATTATCACGTCTCTGAATCTTGTGGGTGACTTCAGCCTCCTCCTTAAAAATAAACAGAATTTGTAAAGATAAAGTTTATGCCCTATTTAATAGCTCCCCAGCAGAGCAGATCCAAGATAAGTACATGCTAGCAGTTCTGTATCAGTGTCAATTCAGTAGTGAAAAATGGCTAAGCACCATCTTTTAACTAATAAGTCTATTCCCTTACAGTGAGGAAAAACAATCAAAGAATGAGCCAGAGCCATTCAGAGAGCTGGACAGTTTGGATTCAGAGAGGACTCTGTTCTTCTCCAAGGAAGAAGATAGGTAAGTTTAAAACCGTCAGCTAATGTAGCTTTTATGACAACAGTCAAAGAACAGGACACTTCTTGTGTATTAGTGACCATCATCCTTAGATCATCAGTTAATGCTCTAAGGAGCAGCTGAAGGGCCAAGAAAGTCATTACTCCTCAGGAAGTGCCCTTTGATTACTGCTGTTGTTGCTCTCTAAAAGGAGCATAGGAAAACAAACAGGGATATAGCACTGCTTTAGGGAGATACCAGTTTAGTTTTTCTGAGCAGGTCAGTTTCTACCAGAAATTGAGAACAAAGAACAAGGAATTTACTTGGGAATCACATAGTATTTCCTGACATTCCCATCAGCTCATTATGATTAATACCCAATGGATTTTAGGAAGTTATCAGATTATTGAGCTGAGGAGAAAGAAGGTTCTCAGCAAAACCTTGCATCACTGCATACATTCTTACAAAGATGCACTTGCACCCATCAGTACCAGGGAATTTCACATTGAGTCAGCTTCTCACACTCTTAATTTATATTTAACAGATGAGCCCCAAGGAACCTTATGAGTTAGAGGGAGCATCACACAAATGGGTAACTGAGCACAAAGGTTTTGTCAGTTGCTTGTGGTCAGTCAGATCTTTGATTTAGAACATAAACCTCCCTATACTTCTACTACACACTTATCACCAAAACCTGGAGACCACAAGGACTTAAGTCAGGATAAGTAGACTTTTGATTGGCATAAAGTCCTCTTAATGGCTATATAGCCACTTAGCTTTTCCATGACTTAAAGAGAACTCCAGAAACGTGTGACCAGTGGTAGGGAGGAAGCATCATCAGCAGTACAAAGTCCTGGACCAAGTCAGAGTTATTAGGTTCTATTTTTACCTCTGGCATTTAACTGCTAGTATATTGGAGAAAATCATTAGTTCTTCTCTCTCCCTCCCTAACCTATAAAATAGGTGTAAAAGCATCTGCCTCTTGGGAGCTATTTGTAAGCAATATCATAAAGCACTTCCATATCCTGAGTGTAGCATGGTATGGTCATTATATTCCATGTTCCAATTGCTATTATGCTAGCAATTTATTTTAACAAAGAGGCTCTCTCCATCCCAGATCTATTTCGGCATCTTGCAGTAAAGCTGCAATTATCTGTTTATGATATTAGCCTGTTACCATGGGAATGTATCTCATGATGTCGTAAATTGAGAGGTCGTACAGAATCAGGCAAATAGAAAAGATTGGCCATAAAGAGAACTTCTCCCTTATAACAAATGTATTTAATAATTAGCAAGATTGTCAGAGGAAATTAAAAACCAGAGACGAGTCATTGTTTATTTTCTGTGAGGTGAAATTGAAAACATACCCTAGTGTGCACATCCTTTGTTGGAGATCAAACTTCTCAGAGTAAGAATCACAAAATTAAAGGTCCAATAACATTCCTAGCTTACACAGGAGAGCATTTTATGTGGAAACAAATCCTCACACAAAGATCAAATTGCTATCAAACTTGCATTTTCTGCACAGGATATTTTCCATTGCCAATAGATACCACCTCATGTTCCAAAACACAGCAAAACAGCTGTAAGTGTACAGGTCAAATTTCCCTTTAGTTACCAAAATACTTGCATCATTCCACACCACTCAAAGACTACCTTAGTACATGTTTTATGAGGTCAACTCTTTTTGCTAAAAGGCTTCTATATTTCTATTTTGCAACTTACTCTAATTTAATCACATAGGGCAAGATGCCAGTTATGCAGAGCAGCGAGGTATTCTTCAGTGGGTCTATCAGATTCCAGCAGGGATAGTCAAGAAACACAGGCTTAACACGATCGAGCACTTAGAGACTGGGTCAGAAGTTCAAAGTCACAGCAACAACAAGAACTTCCACAGACAAACACTGCAAGAAATTTTAAAGCCAAAATAATTAAGAGCTGACTCACAAAAATTCATTGGCATTTTTCTTTTCTATTATTTAGATTTATAAAGGCCAATTAGCCTTCCTCCTCTCCTTGTGCATTTTCTGTCCATGCAGAACACAATGAAGCTTACAAAATAAAATTAATACAACTAAACTGTAACAATAAAAATGCTCACATAATTCTGATGTGACTTTGTTTTTCAAAAACTTCTTTTTGATTTGAAGTATTTCTGCTATGGTAATATGATTGCTCTGACTTCTACAGCCTTCCCCCTTGGCCAGCCCCAGCATCTGCCTGTTACTATCTTACAAGAAGCTTTATATAGAATAATATTGAGCCTATTCCCATGAACTAATTTTAGGAGATTGTCACCAAGCATGTATTCTTTTTGGTTTGCAGAGGAAATGACACATTGGAAAAACAGAACCCTTCTGCAAACACAGCATGGGCAACATTCGTATTTACCCGGTGGAGAAAATTCTGGAGTGCCCCTGTAACTGTGTTTATGGGGAATGTTATCATGTACTTTGCTTTTCTCTTTCTATTTACTTATGTCCTTTTACTGGACTTTAAACCACCTCCACCTCAGGGTCCATCTGTTAAAGAAATTGTGCTCTACTTCTGGGTGTTTACCCTTGTCTTGGAAGAGATCCGACAGGTGAGTAACCTGCATCACCTCAGTGCCAACACAGCAAAAGCTGCAACAATATTTGCAATAGATTTACAATCTGTACAGCTGTACAGGCTTGGACATTTCAAGTGTCAGGTGCACAGAACAACACAGAACTTACCATATTCTAAACATCTCCCCTCTCTCCCCCAGAGCAAGCTCTTCCTCCACCATATAAACCTACATCTCTACCGCTGTTTTTCCATCCTTAGCCATCCTTTCCATCCTACTGCAGCCTTAGCCAAGTCAAGTGGGCTGCCAGCATTCAGATATTCTCTGCTTGGTAAAGTCCCCCTCTGATTTCACTCCACAGAACTAGGTCTTCCCACCACAAATAATATAAGTTGGAAGTTATAGTCTACACCTGGAAACACAGCAGACAGCTCTACATCCTTTTAGGAGATTCTTCCCTGCTGGGGACTGTTTAAAAAAATCAAAAGTAAATAAATTCAGATTATTTGTGGCTTTTCCTAAAATAATTTTCAACTCAAAATATTAGCAGATCTCTTTTGGGCTTGCTTTTCTTAAAAAACACCCAACCAAACAAAACCACCAACCCCCAAAAGCCCTCCTCCATTAGTCTCCTACTATTGGCTTTGGAAAGTCCTCAGTTTAAAAACTGAAGCAATAATACTGGTGCAAGTGTGTTGCAACTGTGAGTTGCACAAAGCTCTTCTCTTTAGATAAAAAAAAAGCAGTTACAATCATTTACTCTGCAAGAACCAGTAGGTGTTCATTATTTAAGCAAAAGAGACAGGAAAGTTTGTCACAATTTACTTGAAATTATGCAGCAAGACCATTAACAGAGAAGAACATGGAAATATCTGGATCAAAGAACATTTCATTATAAACCTGTAAAACATGAAGACTGCCAGGCTAAAACCCAATTAAGAAAGCCAACTCCTTGCCTAGATAATCAAATTGCCTTCACTGACAATTCCAGCACAGAAATGCCAAATCTGTTCATGCTGTTCATAGCAGTGCCTGGAAACTGAACTCTAACTGGAAGCTGTATTGTTTAACTGCTTTTTTTCCCCCTTATTACACTCATAATTTGTTTTTGCTCTTTGCAATGAAAGAGAAAAAGGCAACAGGTATTCTGTTAAGACTCAGAAGGAAATAGTGAAAGTAGAAAGCTATCAATACCAATGGTTATTTCTCTTTTTCAGAGTTTCTATACAGATGAAGACACAAATTTAATGAAAAAGTTCAAACTCTATGTGGAGGATAACTGGAATAAATGTGATATGGTGACCATATTCCTCTTTATAATTGGGGTAATCTGCAGGTATGTATTTGCATCAGTAGCAAGGGCTGTGTATATCAGCTGACAGCCGAGTCTCATGTGCATGAGAGGACAGGCTCTAACATTCATTTTTACAGGCTTTGAGAAGTGCTTCTGCAGTAGGAGCCTCTAAAATTGATATATTCAAACACGTACTGAAAAGCTCTTTTTTGTTTGTTTTCTGAAATCCCTTTTACTGAAAGTATCTTATTTTCCATTATTTGTTAATAAGTCTTATTGAAGCCAAGAAAGAGAAAAGAGTGTTCCTGCATCTTTTGGTTATTTCTCTTCACTGCACAGATATGAGCAGTACTTGCTGAGAGTTGATATTTCATTCCATGTCTTCTGCAGGATGCTGAACTCAACTTTTCAAGCTGGCCGTACAATACTCGCCATTGATTTTATGGTGTTTACACTTAGACTTATCCATATTTTTGCAATTCACAAACAACTTGGACCAAAGATCATAATTGTGGAAAGGATGGTAAGTGTGCAGTTTGTCTCAGATAAATACTTGTGCCTTCTAAGATATGGAGGCACATATCTTGTCTTTAGAAAGGAAATAACTTTATAATCTGTCTTTATTTTACATTTTTAAGGTCTGCCATTTTGCATATTCCTGTATTCTATTATAGATGGAATGTTTGAAGTAGATCCTTTCACACACCTCTGTAGTGCAGTAAGCTGGTCCCAATTTACTAATCCTTGTATCTTACCTAATAATTTATCCTCCGATCTGGCTAACAAAGAGCAGTCTTTGCCTTACTGCTATTCCTCCTACTTGCTAAGCTGTGTGCATCCAGGGCAAAGACCTCAGGCAGACGACAGACCATGTACAGAAGGGCAGGGCTTCCAATAAATGACTTGGGGAAACAAATGATGTTTTTTTCAGCAAGTGGGGGGGAATATCAATGAAAAAGGATAGTTACAAGTTCCCTACAGGAGTTATTCTTACTTGTACTTTTTAGCTTCCTGTTATGAAAAAATATTAGTACTTTGTGAGCAGATGTTGGAAGATGTTGATGAAATATTTTTATTTATTACTGCTCTCCTGCAAAAAACAAGGATTACAGTTACTGTGCTTGGGTATGCATTAGTATGTTGAAAAAGCTTTTTATTTAGGCATGTTAATCCTCCAGGTCAATTAGCTCATGCTAACTGATTAATAGAGTTCATCTAATTGTAAGTACCATTACAGAATCTACAAATTTTTGATTTGTGACTCACAGCAGAACTCAGTAAAAGCTCTACAGTCTAAACAAGCCTATACATTGAATAAACATAACTACCAAGCTATTTGGATTTGTCTACAAATGCAATACCTGGAACTCTAAGATGACATTTGGTTGGACTAGCAAAAGGGTAGATGGCAAATAAATATTTGTTCTTGTTCGTTATCTAGCTTATGGCATTAGCAGACCTGTATTGTGAGAGAAGTCAGAGCTACAGCTCCTGACCCTTCCTTTGCTGCCTGCCAGCTAAACCAGGGCCTTGAACAGTCCTACCTGTGCCCACTCTGCAGGCACCTGAAGTCCTGCAAGATAACACCAGGGTTGGGAAGATGCAAACGAGAACACAAACAGCAGCCTAGAAAAAGCCCTACCAGGGACCTTTCATCTTTGCCCCACCCAAGCCAACACAATGCTCAGCTTTGGTATTTCAGTGTTGAATCTTACATCAAAGGAAGAAACAGTGAAGGTTACCTCAGTAAATGAAACCTGCCTGAAGGCTTCAAGGGTGTTCTAGTAAAAACACCTCCCTTATTTTAGAGAGAAGCAATCCCAGATGATCTCTTACTGTCTTTCCCCTTCATACCCTTGCTACAGATTTGCTGAAACAGGTCTGGTAATTGCTAAAATTCCAGAAAAATACTCATTTCCAGAGAGACTGCAGATTGGAAAAAAGAGTTCCAGACTTGTCACCACTCTCCCATCACCATGATACCATTACAGCCCTGCAGCATTCCTAAATTTTTGATCATCCAGAAAACAAAAAAGATTAATGGAAGTCAGACATCAACTCTGTCTTGTCTGGCTTGGAGATGATGTTTCTTATCAGAACTCCAAATAACATCCTGGAGCTCTGAAATGCCTATGCTTTTGGGTAACTGTACAATCCAATAATCTAATTGAAAGGAATCTACAGTCTCTAATGAACTCTGTCAGATCAGATGGGGAGAGGATGAAGTGTTCCTCTTCCACCAGGGAAAAATTACTGCACTTGATATTCATATTAGATTTTTTTTTAAGTAAGTGTTTTAGGATTCAATTACTTCTGCTTCTGTAGAGAAACAAAATGTTTAAAAGCAGGAAGCCCCAAAAAGAATCTTTCAGATGCATCACTTAGCTTGAAAACTGAAGACAGAAGGAACCTGATCCTTGCAGCCTTCACTGCCTACTGTATCAGTGGCTCAGTACTCATCAATGAGCACTGACTGCTACCAGGATTCTCTGCTGCAGCAGAACTCTTGTAATTCACAGGAAAGCAGTCCATGGTACTGAGATGGCTCACAGAAAATAGGCACTTAAAATGTGACAGTTGCTTAAAAGATAAAAATGTGTTTCATTTTTAAATGTTTGATTATTGGAAAGCAATATTTTTAGTTTAAAATGTGTCTTTATCTAAATGAGCTATCAAAGAACGCTTACTACAGGCCAAGGACAATATGGTAACAGCAAGGTCAGACAAGGAATTCTGTGCATGGAACTGTATCCTATTCCACCTCCTTTAACCTAAACAAGCTTATAAAGAAACAGAATTTTTTGAGCCATATTCATACAGAAAGATTGCTGTTCCTTGACTATGCTATCACAGTCACTGCCCCTCCGTTTCTCCCCTCCCCCTCTGTTTTGTAGATGAAGGATGTTTTCTTCTTTCTGTTTTTCTTGAGCGTGTGGCTCATTGCCTACGGTGTGACAACTCAAGCTCTGCTCCATCCCGATGACAGCCGACTGGAATGGATGTTCAGAAGGGTTCTTTATCGTCCCTACCTTCAGATATTTGGCCAGATTCCACTGGATGAAATAGACAGTGAGGAAACTTCTTTCCCCCTAACTTGGCCATTTTTGAATGTACACTTCTGATGAGAGCACGGAGTTCCTTCAGAGTATTGCCCTTTTTTAATTTTGCTGTTTTAAAATCTCTGTCCTACAGGCCAAAGCTTACACATTACTGTCACACAAATAGTGCATTTGCAAAGAGATAATGGGCATTGTGGAGTTACATTAGAGCATAAAGGCTGGCCCTGTTTAGATAAGCTCTCAGAAATACACAAGGACTTGCAGTTTTAAAGGCTGGCATACATGCTTTCATTTCAATCCATTTCCTTTCAGTTTAACCTAGACCCAGATAACCCTCTGTAAACTCAAATAATAAATAACAGCACCTCCACACATTTTGGCAGTAGTTTAATGCAACAGTGTTAAAGCAGTACTGCTCTGCCCATAAGCAAACACATGTTTTAAAATAAAATTACTCCAGAGCATTTATTTACTCTGGAGATACAGCTGCCCAAATCAAATAAAGCTAGTAATTGCTTATGTGCAGCATGGCAAACAAAACAACATTAAAATAATCACAAGACACTGAAATAATTAGACATAGAAGTTCAAAGGCAACATTTCTGATAGGTAAGCAGGTAAAATACAGAACAGGTCACCCATCTCCCAGGGAAGCCTGCAGTAACACCACAGCATTCAGCCAGTGCTAAATCTCACAGCAATAATGAAGTGGGAGTCAAACTTGGAGCAACATAAACTAGAACCCAAAAAAGCCATAGACAGAAGCAAACTAGCAAGCATTCTCTCATGCTCACTGTGCTTAGTAAGAAAAAGCATGTCTTTGAAAAGCCAAAACACCTGAATGACACAAGAGAGGAAAGGGATTCAAGTCCATTTTAAATACCTATGGTGTAAGCATGTACAGCACAATCAGTCACTCTTGTTTCCATTAAAGTAATTGGAAAGAAACAAATATTTCTGGAATATAATTCAACTCATTTGCCAAAAAGTCAGGCATAGCACTCCCTAGAAATGTGTGTTTCTTCCCACTGGAACTCCAGTGGGTGTGTCTACCTGAGTAAATAACTAGTTAGGAGTAACAGAGGAAAAAAGAACCAATTACATGGGCAAATTCCATAAGGGATTAATTAGTCCTAGGGCCCTCTGGGGCTTATTCTGTTTAACATCTTTATGAAATATATGGAAAGGGAGAGGGGAAATGAGGAGGACAAAATTTGCTGACAAAACTACATCACTGGGTAACAAAGACAAAGACTGACACCTAAGAGAGGCAGAGGATCCTCATGAGTGCTGAGTCATCAAATGAAATTCAGTGTAGATAAGTATAAGCTAGTGCCCTTGGTAAAAGAAATCCCAGCTAGGTGAGCTTTGATATAACCACATGCTCGAATGAATGTAACCAGGGGGCTATCTATAGCACCAGGGAAAAGGATTACAGCGAAAAAATAGAGGTAAAAAAGTAAATATCATTATGCTACTCTAAACTTGTGGGTTTAATTCACAGCTGGAGACAGAATACAGCACTAGGCCTCTAGTCTGATGCAGTAAAACCAGACCTTCATCCTGATCTCAACCTCAGATACACAAAGCACTTGAAATTTAGAATGAGGAACCAATCCCCTTGCCAGCTTTCACTGAGTTTTCTCTTCCAACCTATGTGCCAGGCATGAGGACACAAGGATGTGGGGGAACACAAACTCAGAGGAGGTTTGATTCTGAGAACTCAAAACCAGTCTAAAAAGGATACAGCCCTTTCAATACAATCCCTTTTATGATAAACACTACTACAAAGCCAGCTGTGACAGACATCTTGCCCCTAAATGAACAGCCAAGCTGTTGAGATCTGCAGTGTCCTAGGGCTGCAAATACCTTGCACAACAATCCAATGTGTTTTGATGTAAACAACATGATTACACTTCCACAAAACCAAAGAAAGAAACACATTAAGATTTGCCATAACTATTTTTTTTTCCTCTATCTTCCTTTGCAGCATCACGAACCTATCCCAGGAACTGCACGTTTAACCCCCTGCAGATCCTGCAGGAGAACACTCCATCCTGCCCCAACAGCTACGCCAACTGGCTCGTCATACTCCTGCTGGTCATCTTCCTGCTGGTCACAAACGTCCTCCTCATGAACCTCCTCATTGCTATGTTCAGGCAAGAGGGATTTCACTCCCTATCAGGACAGAGGCTGCAAAGCCTTAAGTGGATGCCCACATTTTCTACCTCACTGCTGGCTATTCCTTTTAAAATACACTTGTAATTTTCCTAATGAATATTACTCGGGGGTTGATAGGCAGAATCCTGTGATCAGACAGCTCGTAAGTTTTCATCATCCTTACTCTGGTCACATGGGAGGCAAGGAGAAAAGAAGCCTCTCACTGCTAAAAATTCAATTACACATGCACAGAAGGGTCTGAGTCCCTGGCTGTATGGAGCCACAAATCTGCAGGTGCACAGCAGCCTTAAACTTGGCAGGCTTTACAGTGGATGATTTGCACATCAGGGAAATGCTTGTTGTCAACACAGTTAATAATGATTCATTTGGTTGAAGAACTGATGTGGCATGTTTGCTGATCTTTCCTGAGAAAAGTAGAATTATCTTTCCTAAAAAAAAAAATCAAAAATGCCAAACAAAACAAATGTATCTTTTAACATTTGAAGACTGCAACTGCAATTCTTGTAATAGCTAAGAATTTGCACAAACTTTAGATTAAATTAATGCTACTTGCTGACCTTGCTATTCTTTTTTTAAAGTAAATACAGGACTAAATTTTGTTATATTCATCTTTAGCTTCTTGTGGTGAAAAGAGTTACATGTTTTATTCCTCCCCCCCTCAAATTACAGTTACACTTTTCAAGTTGTCCAGGGCAACACAGACATTTTCTGGAAAGTGCAGCGCTACAACCTGATTGTTGAATACCATGGCCGGCCTGCCTTAGCACCACCATTTATCATTATCAATCACATTACTCTGGTTCTCAGAAGGCTCTTCAACAAAATGGAACACAAGAAAAAACACCTGGGTGAGTTGTTAACAAATGTGATCAAGCAACTGTAGAGCCTGACAGCCTCTCCAAGGAAATGGTACATACACAAAACACAGTGCTAGATGGATTTCCTTAAGCTGAAAGTCACAATTTAGTTTTAACAAAGAGTGCCAGGAGAATACAAACAAAAAATTAAGGTTTATAATTTAAACTATGAACAGTTTCCCACAGTGCATTTCTTGATGCATCATAGTTATTACAACAAAGGTAGCAATATAAAATGGGTTATAGGGATTTGATTTCTGAATATTTAACAATTTATAAGTTTAAGGAATAGTTGTTTCATTTGCTTCTGAGTTTTACCAGTTATTAACCCTAAAAAGACACCTTCCTTTAGCATAGCAACTTTTCACTACTAGTATCAGAGAAAAAGGGATAAAATATAATTCTTATTTTATTTTTCCTACAGAAAGAGATCTTCCAGTGGGCCTAGATCAAAAAATCATAACATGGGAGCTGGTACAAAAAGAACATTATCTCGTAAACCTTGAGCAAGAAAAGAAAGAAAGCAATGAAGAAAGGCTGAAGGCCACATCTAATAAGTAAGTTATTCTGACTCACAAGAAGAGTAACTTGCAAGCTGAAGAGCTTTCAGTGAGTTCAGCATCGATGTTCTTGTAAAGCTTACATAAAGGGTCCAGCTGGAATGCAGTTAGGAAACACAGAGCCATGAAAAAATGTGAGAGGCCAGCATCACTACAATGTTAGAGTGTTTGTCACTCCTGAAGTATGTACAATTATAGACCTGCAAGTTCCAGCCAAATCTGTGGCCAAGCTCAAAGCAAATCTTATTCATGAAGAAAATGGTGGAAAAACCATTTGTTTGCTTGACTGCAGCACACGTAATTTCATCCTCTGTAGGAATATAACACAGACTTCTGAATGGAAGTTTAAGATACCTTGAATTAACCACAGATGCAGAAGAACAAATACTTATGCTTCTATGGCATGGGACTGAGTCTCCATTTGTGTACCTCTCTATACTTCCCCACTAGGAATATCACTTGAATTGGTTTAGTCTGATAAAGTATAAGTCCTAGATTATTATTCAGAGATTTAAACCTTTAAGTGAGATACAAAGTAGTCATGTGCAGGGAGAACAGAAACATCTAAGACAGAAAAACACTCCTTTAAGAAGCTTTTAATACATATTCCAGCTGTTTTCTCTTACAATAAAACAGACTTCAAACAGAGGCACAATGGGTGTGAAAGTTACCATAATAAGAAAGTTCCATGGAAATGTTCCTGTGCTGTCTGTTTTTTTTCTAAATAAACCTTCAACTCACAGAATAGCTGGAGACCAGAACAGCATACTTCCATTCTTGGAAAATACTCCTCTCCCTCTAATTCACACAGACCCTTAATTCATAATAATTTAGAATTACTATATAGGTTTAAACTTGATTCTCACAAGCAGATCACTGACAAACCCCAGGAGTGAGAGCTTAATTTTTGAGATAATGCAATAAATGTATGTGCAATTCTTCCAAACAAAGGGTACTATATCCTTTATATAATAAATATGGTACACTGTAGGTGAAGTTGCTGGAGGGGAAAAGTGAGAATTCATCTGGCTTCACAATATTTCAGGTATAGCAGAGCCAGAGAAAGACTGGAAGAGATTCAGATAAACACCACTACCCCCAGTGGTTTTTATTTTTGCTCTTAGGTGGTAGCCATGTGGTTTTGAAATCTTAGGAAACCCTCAGGAATTGATTCTTTGAACTTTGGCTGCACTGAACCAATGTCAAAATGCATTAGACCCACCCAGCAGCAGGTCCCACATAGATGGGATTGGAACATTGTCTGTGAGAGGGAAACTTTGAAAGAGTATCTGGGAGAAACCAGAGAGGGATTTGCCAACCCTATGAAGAATCAGATGCTAGGAATAAGGAACTGATGGGAGAACAGGTGAAGGATGCAGAAAGCATGGGGATAATTCAGCGATTTGGAGGCACCATGTGGAAGCTCCTTAAGCAATCCCTGTAGACTGTGTCAGTTGTGAGTCCCTGGGCAACAGGTGCATGAGAGTGTTCCAGAGATGCTGTTCTGCCCAAAAAAATACTTCTGTGAATGCCTTAAAAGGAAAAACCTTTTAGGGGGCTGTAAGATGTCTAAGCAGCACAGAGCTGCAGTGAAGAGCCATGGACATGTGGTGGTATTCACAGGGGTCCCAGGAAGAGGGAAGAGATGAGGATCTGACTCCATGTTTCAGAAGGCCTGATTTATTATTTTATTATATATATATTATATTAAAACTATACTAAAAGAATAGAAGAAAGGATTTAATCAGAAGGCTTGCAAGCAAATGGAAAAGAACAGAATGATAACAAAAGCTTGTGACTGAACACACAGTCCGAAACAGCTGGACTGTGATTAGCCATTAATTAGAAACAACCACATGAGACCAAGCAAACATCTACCTGTCCATTCCACAGCAGCAGATAATCATTGTTTACATTTTGTTCCTGAAGCCACTCAGCTTCTCAGCAGAAAAAATCCTAAGGAAAGGATTTTTCATAAAATGTGTCTGTGACTTGGGTATAATAAAGTTAGACATGGTTTGTGTTTTATTGATTTCTTCTGAAGCCTCTCCTTTTTGCTCAAGGTGTTTGCTTTGTTTCCACAGGGTGGATAATTTGTCCAAGTATTTTAGTGGATTGAAAGAACAAGAAAAACGATTTAAAGTTCTGGAAGCCCAGGTAAGTACTATTTTCTAGGCATTTATATCAGCTTTAGAATTTCACCATCTTTCTCTCATTTAATGGTGGTTTGGCAGAGCCTACTTAGAAAAGGAGATCTATATTATGGTTTCACTTTCCTTATTGCTTTCTGGTGATAAATGTATGTAAAGAAAAATGTCTAAACTCCTGTAGAAAGGAGAAAAGGGAATTCAACATTTCTTGCTCTCTTTGGTAGTTTACTTGAGAGTGTTTATTTCCTCTGTTAAGGATGCTTCTGGATTTAAATGCTTCATCTCCTCCCCTCCCCCCCCCCCCGCCTCTTGTCCTTCTCCTAATATTTTCTTTTTATTTTTTTTTTAAATGTCAGCTTGGAAAAGACACATATTCTGTCTGATCTGACCTAATCTTCTAGTACATCTAATTTTCTTAAGATACCAAGTACCAACACTCAAAAGGGAAGCGTCCAACATGCAATTATGAAATCCAAATAATAGCAGGAAATTCTGTCTCGAGCTTTTGATGACAAACTCTCGCAATATAAACAAACAACATTTCTTACACAGCCTGAAAATGTTAAACCACCTGCTATGTAGCACAACTCTTATTGTTTTCTTTATCTCTGCCACTCTCCTGTATAATTCTGGCCTCGCTGAAAATTCCTTATCTTAATACTCCTGATACAGTTTCCTGCTCCCTTCTTATCCCTTTTATAGCTTCCTGAAAAAAGTCAGGCTATACAGGTCCAACAGAAACACACAAGGAATGCTTTATTAAGTTTGTGCCAGTCTGAGGTCTTGCAATATCCTCACAAAAGAGGGCAGGTATTTAATCACTACCTGTTTTGTAGATTTGCTACTGTACAGCTGTTATCTCCTCCATGGCAGAAGTTTTAACCAAAACCAACCTCTTGTGCACTCAACCAGCTCCAAACTACACATGTAAGTACTGAAAACAATCATGAAAAAGGTAATTAATACAGCTGAACAATGTAGTTTAAAAATGCAAGGTGGAAAAATAAGATTGGAAAATTACCCTATAAGGAGCTTCCTAGAGGTTATGGGAATATAATCAGGGAACAGAATATTCTTAGTTCAGAATGAAAAAATTACCTTTTGTAAAATACATTTACAAGCCTTGGGCAAGGACTGTCACTCAGGGTGAGTTAGAATAATCTCACCCAGTTCAAACACATGAACAAGTATCTATTTGCAACAGAGGATTGCCTTGGGGGTTTCTTGAGTCCATGAGATAATCCTACAGAAGTATTACAAAAGTATTTAAAATGCATAGTAATAATAATTAAAAATAAAAACTGAGCAAGTCTCCTATTATTTTTTTAATTAACAGAATTCATTTGCCTTTAGAGCTGCACCCATTTCTGTCAGTTAAGAATGGTGTCTTGTGTCCCAGGGCTCCACGGCATAGGAGTTTTAATCATTAGAGACAGGAACAAGCTAGTTCTCAGCCACTGCAGGATATCCAACACAAAAAAGATTTTGGATACCCTTCTTAATGACCTATTTCAATATCAACCTAATGCTACCACACAAAACAGCCCCCAAAACCCATAAACTGAGCATATATATACCACATGGAAAAAAGTAGCTGGAAAACTCAAAGTCACAACATGACAGGACCTCTAGTCACTCAGATTTGAGCTAACCTCAAGCTTTATTTAATTCTGTCAGAAGTTTTATAACACTCATGTGAGTTGCTTCATTATCAGTATTCCAATAAAACAACTCCATCCCATAGCAGGCTTCCCAGACATTTTGATACTGTAACTGCATAAAAACCCAGAAATTTAAACAGCTGAAAAATAACCCTGTGTTTATCATTTACTAAGCAAATGCAAAATAATATAGTGTATTTTTTTCAACACTTTAAAGTTTCTTAAGGAATTACTGCTATGTGCCCCTTGACCTAAGGCTTTAAACGAGTACATGACTTTTCCAATCCTATTAGGTGTGAAGAGTGCCAACACAGAAGTGCCTTTACCACAAAGAAGGGAAAGAGAAGAGCGTGCAGATCAGTTTGAGACTGACATCGAATACATTGATAACTAAATTTTATTCTATTTCTTCACATTAAACCTTTTGTCCTAGTGAACTACTGTAGAAGTAAAATCCTAATCTCTTGAAGGCCTAAGGGCAACAAGCTCCCTACGCTAAGCACTATCAGTGCCTGACATTCCTAAGGATTTCTTGGTCTTTCTCCTTCAATTTCCTGGGCTTTGTTTCCTGCTGCTCCCATAGCACTCGATCCTTTCTCCAAAACCATTCCACAAATAGCATTAAAACTTTCTCCTCCAGGGTGACTCTACCACCTTATTTTCTAAATACCATTTGTTCTCCAGATACCAGACCCTCAATTCCCCATCACTGCTGCCAAATTCCACACTTCTCTGTTCAAGGGAGTCTCCCTTTGGAAGGGCAGTCACGCACTGAAAAACAAGCTCCTTCCTTGGCCAAGACATCAAGCTTGTACTCCTGAGCTGCTTAAAAAAAGGAAATCAAGAAAAAGTTTCCAAGGAAAGGGCCTGAATACTGAAACATTACAAAACATACAGTTCCCGGAGTTCCTACAACTTTCAAACAATTGCACTCACTGGTTTCTCTTCCCACACTGGCTCCTGTGAGGCATTCCTTTGCTGGTATTCCTTCTAAAGGGCTCCTCACTCAACCTCAGAGAGTGGAATCACCTGGTTTTTGTTGGGCCCATGCCCCATCACAGCTGCTGCCAGTTCCCTGCTGAAAAGGAGCCTTTGCCTCCATGTATCACACCACATGGAATACCTCCTCTACATCTAAGCATCTGATTTCATTCTACTTTTCTTTCTCAAGGGTCAGGGGAAAAAGAAATTACCTAAGAGACTTTAAAACAAGAATGTGTACCAAGAATTATCGTGCAGTCTAAGAATTTGGGCTGTTTGTGGCTTTGTCCACTATTTAAACTGGCTTGTATATTTTTAGCATATAAAAATTCACTGGCTTTATTCGAATTTTGCAAGATATACCACAAAAATATCAATACCATTCTCTAAGGGGAAATTTCCTTGGAATAATATAAACAGCATCAGAAGGGGGAAGTATTGGGCTGTGTCTGACTCTGATACAAACTTTAACTGCATTTCCTCACATGTATAATATTGTCTCTATGCAATGTAATTGTAGATTGTACAAAAGCTTTCTGTTACTAGAGGTGGAAAAAAAAAATAAATCTCAGCTCTGACAAAAATGAGCCTTTTATTACCAGATATTAATCTTGTTATGATGTCTTAATGAAACAGGCATTTGTCCAGTTTATTCAGCTGTGCCCCAGACCTGTGACTCCATTAGCAGCGATGGAATTTTGATAGTCCTACCTGTTCCTCACCCTGGGCAAGCAGAACTCATAAACCCAGTAAGCTGGTACTACTGAGCTGCACTTTTTGTTAAGAAATAACAGATATCTCACAACAAGCATTCCCTGCTCTTGGCAGCAGTTTCCATTTTGAAATGGCGACTATTTTAATGTGATCAGCACACTAATTATCCACTGGAACCCAAAATCTATCCATTGGGACCTGCTGTGTGTGTCCACTCACATGCATTGGAACAACCAAGGTATTTACCAATGACCCACTAAGCAATGTGCATCCAACTGCATACTCATGAGAACATACATTCTGCTCTGAAAACTAAAAGGTGAGTTTAGAAAAATGGAGCACAACTGCTCCTTTTACACTGTTTTCTGCTTCTAATACCAAATGATGCATCAGTTCAAACACAAAGCCCAAGTGATTTGGGCCTCCCAGTTAATTACTGCTAAGATGAAGTCACCCCCTCAAACACCCTTCAGAGTTTGAGCAAGCACAATCTACCGAGAAATATCACAAACTCTTCAAAATTAATCTTTCACTACACAATTGTAAATACTACTCTTGGGATTGGTTCATTTAGAATAATGACCCAAAAAATGTCAGTCCAAAGTGACCTGAACTAATTTGAGTCTCAAATCATGTAACCTTTCAAAGAATTTAATCTTTCAACCTTAGTTATTAAATTTACTAGCACTGTGGAAAAAAACCCACTCTATTTGACATTCCCTACAATGTGATTCATTGTATGAGATGACTCATCCTATGAGGGGATTGTACATTGTAAAATGATTGAAAATGTTAAAAATGTGAGGTTTAGAATCTCTAAGACTTGAGGGAGAAGTTAACAAGATGGCAAAGTTAGAGTAACACTTTAAAAAGTTTTCAAGGCAGTTTAGGAATCAAATAAAATGTTTGGTAAAACTCCTACAGCTGCATTACTCAGTGTGGTTCAGACAAGAAATCAAGTTACAACCAGAAGTTTATTGTATCACATAGAAAAAAAAAAGTTCCCAGTTCTGGTATAAATAGCTGATTCCCACAAACGCCCCAATCCACATATAGAATCAGTATGGAAGCAGCACCTCTTGGAAAGGACATACAAAGGTGCAGATCCTCACATCATGTAACTGGGCACTGTTGTGCTTTCACCCTCAATGGCAATGACAGAAAGATTTTTTAAACAAAAAAGTTAAAAGGTTTTCCTCCCTGGGACAGGGCCAGAAGAAATCACATGCAGTGGAAGACTAGGTTTTATTTTCATAAAGTTTAAAAATCTCTACATAATGAGCTCATCACCTTTTCTCCATGATTCCACAGGATTTGGGAACAATTCCAAAACTGGGAGTTACTAGGAAGCCCTGCAACCGTTTAGCTAACACTTCTGTTTCTTTGGATACTTCAGCTCTGAATTATCACACTTTATTCTATCCTGCCAGGATGCAACTATCCTGTGCCCATGGAATTCTCATAAACAAAAAGGCTGGAGTTTATTTTAGGTAGCTTGATTTCTAACAATATAAAACATTCTTGGTGGCTATGATGCAAACTGTTGGACAAAAAGCTATCATGTGGTTTTCAGACCAGAAAGGGGGGAAAAAAAAAAAGAGAGAAGGAAAAAAATGACCAAGACAAGTCCTGGGATGTCTCCAATGTGCTTCATCCTCTAGGACTCTTCTTCCTCCCCTTCATCATCTGCTTTAGGTCGGAAATTTTTCCTGCTCTTCTTCTTACTGCAGTGGAATCCAACTGTTCCCAGCGATGGCTCTTCACCTGCACCACTAAGCCTTGCATCAGGTTTATGTTCTGTTTTCTGGTCCCCTTCCATCATGCACTCCTCCTCCTCTGCTGCCTTTCCACTGTCACTGTCTAAGTGCCCCAGCTCAACCTTATCCTCTTCCCTCAGGTCATCAGCCTTCTTAAGAGATTTTCCTTTCAGATCTGTCTTTACCTGTTTTTTATCATCCTCCCCTGTTGATGTTTTCTTTTCCAGTCCATCAACACCTCTTTTGGTTGGTTTGGTGAAGACAATCCTCCCAGCTCCACAGCTGGAAGGGTCCTGGTTGAAGGACTGGGTGTAGCTGTCTTGAGTAGCCGAGCCCTGTTGCTCCCCTCTTTTCTTCAAACCACCTAGAAATTCCATGGCCACTGCCCTGTTAGTCTTGTCACTGCACTCTGAAACTCCCTCCAGGCTGTATTTGGTCCAGCGCTCCGGGTGTGCCACGTAGTCAGGCACTGCAGGAGAGGTTCTGGGAGCCTGCACTGCTCTGGCTTGCCTTCCCATGTTTTCTGGGACCACGTTACCTGAAACTGTGGTTGGAGGCAATGGGCGCTTGAACCTCCCATCAACAACATTATCTTCAGGCATCGAGGGCACAGACAGCTTGGCTGCCTCTTCCAGGCAATCAAAAATGCTCTGGCTACGGAGAGAGAACGTAGAACTCATGCCCTTCAGATGGAATGGCTGCACAGGAGATCTGCTGTTTGAAGAGTCAGGTGTCTCTCCTGATCTGGAATCCCCTTCATCTACAGATGGCTCCTCGGGAGATATTGTATCAACTTCTGCTTCATCCGCCAGCCCCAAGTCATCAGAGTCAGAATCGCTGAGTGACACCGTGTCTGAGGGCAGAGCTCCTTCAAAGTCTCTGCCACCATCAGCCACTATCCCCAGAAAAGGTTCACCTGCCTCCTGGTCTCCCATCTTTGAGCTGTCACTCCACCGAGGTCTTTGATGTAGGCCCAGGAACAACTCTAAATACACTTTTCCAAATGCCCAGCAAGTTTAGTGCCTACAATACAAAGGAACATAAAAACTTAACTGTGAAATGAGAACCAAGAATGAAACCATCACTCTGTGTCATGCAAAGTAATTATAACTGCAATATAACAGTTAGCTGTGCTTTAGGGATTCCCAAGCAATTTTGCTTCAAATGAAAGCATTATTTAAGGAATGAATGCACATTAAAATTAAAGATTTACACAGGACTGAATACAAGAATATGAAGTAATTGAAAGTAATGCTACCAAATTTCTTTACAGGTAACATCAGGTCCAATTACTAAAAGATGAAGATAAAGCTCTTGAGTTAATCTGAATCCCCCAAAGCTGTCTTATTACATCTTCCAGGAGACAGCAATGAGCTCTGCATATTACACCCTGTGTTTATTCACACTGTAAACATCCACAAAACACATCCAATTTCTCACACTTTGATTTGGCCAGTACAGCCCTTACTGCACTAGCTCTGTACCTGCTGTCCCAATAGCCATCACGTTCTGCCTATCACAAAGGCCACTATCACCGATCCATATCAGTGACAGAAAACTCACAAAAATATCAGGGCCACTGTTTCAAGTCTGCTTTAATGTGGCATAAAGTACAAGCTCCACTCCCTCCTTTGGCTTCATGCTCTCAAGTCATTGCTAGATTCCAGGAACTGGAAAACCAGACAGCTCAAGAAATCAATCCCACTGGATTAAGAAAACTAATCACTCATGCCATGCTCACACATGGAAATGAGGAGAGACTGCAACCACAGGCCGGCAAGAGCTGGCCCTTCAGTCAGTGAATGACAGCGTGATTTGAAGCCTGACTTCCAGGAGCACTGGAATACCTGCCGGTGCCACCTGCTTGAAGGGAACCTCGCTGAATTCAGGTGGTTGATGATGAAGCTACCACTTGCTGGGCAACTGGAAACAGAGCTGGTGCTCACACACATTTTGGTTCAGCTCACGTGACTTATGGAAACAGCTCTAACATATTATTAGAATAAGCTTGACTACCTAATTATAGGCTCTTCTGAAACGATGCAGTAAACAGACATGGAAAGTCTGTTAGTCACTCACTTTCTCTTGAGACTGAGTCAGCTTCCCCTCCTGAGGGTCAGTTAAAGCCACCAAAGATCTCAGCACTTCCACCCTAGAAAACAAACATTTCCATCATGATACTGGAAATGTAGTTTTAAAAATAATTCTGTCCCCCTGAATCATCCAAAGCTGCAGAACTGGGTTCTAATTCTGACAAACTCATGGTGGTATAAAAATCTGTAGATATTATTGAATTTTTGGCAGAAGAACAGCGCACAGCCTAATAACACAGTCACCACTATATTTACCCAGCCTCCACATTCACACTGCCAACTTTACCCTGTAGAACAGAAGGGGTTTTAAAAAAAATTCAAGCTGTAATTTGCATGTGCAAAGGATTAAATAAACAGTATTAAATGCAGCTGAGAAGATACAATAATAATAGTTATGCATTGTAAACATTAAGTGCTGCTAAGTATTAAGACCATGGGTAACACAGGCTTGTGTTTTCAAAGAAAGGTCAAAGTTAGGGCCAGATTGTTATGAAGTTCAAAACACAGAGAATCTTCTGAGGAGTGCTATGTTCCATGTCAAGTCTGGCTGTCTTTGACAGAAAGGGTCAGACAGCTACTTTTGAAAACATTGCTCTGCATGTAACCCCTGGCAGGAAATAATCTTAAAATGATACAGCCTTCTGTTCAGGTTTGCAATACATTAAAAGTAATGACTACTACTCAGAAAAGGCCTTGAATAAAGGCCCGTTTTCAGATGGCAATAGGGCCATCAGGGCCATCTCTTGTCTGAGGGCACCTACACAGAAAGGAGAAATTCTGCTCCTAAGGAAATGTTTTAGCCTTAAAGTTTGCGGCCAAACGTGCTGGCCCTCACACACCCCAGCCTCACTCACAGGTTTGTTATGGTGACGTGACCACAGCACGACTCGGCAAGGATGTTGTCTCTGCGGAAGGGAAGATTCCCAGTGGGCTCCTCCATCCTGGTGCTGCTCAGAGAGACTCGGTGCGTTTTCCTGCTGCCTCCTGTGAGGGGACGGACACCTCAGTCACCGCAAACCACGGCCACGGGCCCGCTCTCACGGCGCACAGAGCACCGCAACGCCCACACAGTCCCTCGGGACAGGGATCCACAGGGCCCCGCACCCAGGAAGAGGGAAGAGGATCAGGGAAAAGAACATCGGCCGCTGGGCACTCGCCCCGCGGAGGGCAAGGTCACGGTGCAGCACCAGCCGTGCTGCCCCGGCCCCAGCGCCCTTCGCGGCCCGGGATGCTGCTGGATGCGAATCGCCCGCTCCACACGCGGCCCTCGCTGGCCCTGCACCCCGGGCACCGCCACCCGCCCGGGCACACAGCGCGAATCGCCGGGGAAGGGAGGGGAAGGGGGAAAATGGAAGGGGGAGCCCCTGTACCCCGACACCGCACAGCCCCAACACCTTCCACAACAGCCACACGCCTTGCCCGCCTTGTCCGCCTTTCCCACCTCTGCCCCTCCGCCCGCGGCCCGCGGTGCGCCGGGACACCGAGTCCCTGCCAGGCTCCGCGGAGGGGCCACAACGGCGGCAGGACCACAACTCCCGGCGGGGAGAGCGGCGAGGAAGGGGCCGGCGCCTCCCCGCTCTCTCGGGGCTCCTGGGAGTTGTAGGCGGCCGCCTTGCATCGGCGGAGGACATTTTGCGAGCCGGGGAGCAGGGCGAAGCGGTGCTGGGCGGTGGGACTACAGCTCCCAGGGCGCACCGCAGCGCCGACATTTCGTAGCCTGTGCGGGCCGTGCCCGGGGCTCGGTGCTGGGTTCGGTGCCCGGCCGGGTGTGGGGCTCGGTGCGGGGCTTGGTGCGGAGCCCCGTGCCCGGCCGGGTGCGGGGCCCGGTGCGGGGCTCCCCCGGGCACCCCCGAGAGCCGCGGTGCCGCCCCGGCGCTGCCCGGCGCCGTGAGGGGCAGCCACGGCACCGCCGCCGCCTTCCGCCGCCTTCCGTCGCAGTCTGGGAAAAACCCCCATGTCACAGCTTTTGTTCTCATCGGAAAAGCAGGGCTTGGCCACCACGAACACATCCGAAGTTTTCTCTTTGTTTTGTTTGGTTTGGGTTTTTTTCTCTTACGTGTTTATTCTCAAACCAGAAAACCCCAAGTCGCTTGAGCCATAAAACCACTATCCATCCAAATAAAAAAGTTTCCATTTGCTGTCCCAGAAGAACATTTTTTTGCGCGTGTGTCAAGAAGTGGAGCTCTGTCTCAAAATGTTTTATTGGTGCTGGCCAAAGAGGCTCGATTTTTGTTTTTCCCCTTATTTCAGCAAAAAGTTCAAATTTTCAGCACAAATACATTTCCCAAGAGGCTGCAATATTCAGCTTGTTTTCCCTATGTTTAGGGAAAGGTTTGCTGTGCCAGGTGGGTTGTGCCAGACAGTGCTGTGGCTGCAGAGGCTTCACTGGCTCCCTTCAAGCTGGGCCTCACCGTGACTCACCCATAATACAAACTGCAGCCACTTCATATGCATCCTCAGTTTTTAAATACATACTTTTGCCTGCTGGAGTGTTGCTAATTACAGTAATTTATGACACGAGGTCTGTGTTCGGAACACACTTGGCAGCAGCGATGAGGTTATTGCAAAATGTCTTCTGTCTAGCTGGAGTCATGCTGTAGTTTTAGAACAGCTCTAGAGGTGTTTCCCCATTTGGTGATCCTATTTTTATTTTTTTGTTATGTGTATGCATATGGTAGTACGGTCACAGGCATCTAAATGGGTATCCAGATGGAGGGAGGAAAGGAAAACAAGAAGTAGGTGAGCAGGAATGGAAAGGAGAAGAGCAGTAAATGGGCAGACAAAAGGAAGAGTAAACCTGGGTAAAACAGGCTGCTGGTGCTGTGTAACACAGTCTAGGGTGTTGGGGAGACAGCAGGAGAGTCTCTGAGCGTAGTAAGGAGCAGGCAGAAAAAAGGATGTGGAGTCATGTCCCATTTTTGTAAGAGTGGAGACAAGCAGGGTACAACAGAGTGATGCAGACAATGGCACAGTCTTGTTTTGAGCCGTGGTTCTTTGTTAGATGAGGGGCTCAAAGGAGCAGGAGAGGGCAACACCTTCTCCAGTGTCCCTGTCACCTATGGGTGTGGGTGCCTTCAGGGACAAGCCCCATGTCTCCCTTTCCAGAGGCTACAAGTTCTCACTTTTTGCCTGGATGCTGTATTGATGGCTAAGGAACCTGAATGTATCCTTTGCCTCCTTCTTGGTTTTTTATTCATGAAATTAGCTCAACTGTTTAGAGCATGGTGCTAATAAAACCCAAGGCTATGGGTTTGATCACCATTCACTTTAGAGTTGGACTTGATGATCTGGGTGGATCCCTTCCAGCTCAGCCTATTCTGTGACAGAATCTGTGAGAGAAGAGAAGGAGAACTGAGGCTGAGCTGCTCATTCTCTGGTGGCTGAGGACAAGGCAGCTTGCAGCAGTGGAAATGTTGGTGTGTTGGGACTTTCGCTATTGCTTGGCGACAGCTGAAATAAAAATAATGAGTCAGAGTCTGAAGACCAACAGATGGGAAAGTGTTTTCCCCTTGCTGGCCTGAACTGAGTGGCTTGAAGAGAGGGCTGGAAGGTGGAACTGGGCTGCAGGACAGGCCATCATCCAAATGAGCGGGCTGCATCCAGGCTCCGAGGGGCCGCTCATTTGTGGGGATGGCTCCATGTGTCTGCAGGAATCCAGCGCGTCCCTGTGCATGGGGGTGGCATGTGAAAATGCACAGCAGCCTCAGCCCCATCTCTGGCGCCTCCACTCCTTTCCTGCAAATAAATCTGTCTTTTGGCCCCATCCAGTAGCTGTTTCCGCTGCTCCCTGGCAGGCTCCTGCTGCTGCTCCTTCCCTTGGAGCCTGGGGCAGAGACCACTGGTCCCCCTTCCCATGGCCGTAGGAAAGCAGCAGGCCATTCCCCAACAGCCACCCAGATCCTGAAAGTCAGACAGAGCAATATGATGCATTTTTCAACATCTCCTGCATCTGGAAGGGATGTGGAGGTTCCTCAGATGTGGCCACATGCAGTTCTTGAGGGGAGGTGGGGTGGGAAAGGACTATTTTCCTGCAGGCAAAAAGGAAAAGCAGAGTCATGACCACCGCAGCCTTCTCTGCTGGAAGAATACAGTCACACCAAGCCATACTGGTACAGCCTGAAGGAAATAAATGAGTTGTCCTCTCCCATTTGCCAGAATGAAATCCTACAAATGGCCTTGAAATCCTACAAATGGCCTTGAAATCCCTTGTGGGGTGGGTTTTCAGAATTCAGTGCTTGATACCACCTCTCTTCTACATTGAGCTTACCTGTTTTCCTTTGTACTTTCATTTGATCCTGCAACAGATTAGATTTATTCTAGTGCTGTTTACCCATGTTGGTGCTATTTTCCCCTAAGGTAACTACATGAAATTAGTTCCTGTGGAGTGAGTTTTAATGCAGGCAGGCTATGAAGGTCTTTATCAACTCTGTTCTTCAAATAACAATGTTACTGCCAGCCTATAGAGACCTGCAGGGAGACACCACAACCCCTTTTTTTTGTTAGAGACATAGCATGTGTGGGAGGGAAGTCCTTTATGAGCAAAATTAATACTCTCTGCAATTACTCTAGTTGTTTAAAAGAAACAAAAACAGTTGGGGGTGTCTGTTCATTTTGATTTAACTACAGAATATTTGCACCAAGAAAACCCTTTTCCCAATCTTCCTGCTTTTTCCTTTTTCCTATCCCTGCCCCAAAATGCCTGATACTTAAAAAAAAAAAAAAAAAAAAAAGTCATAACGAAAGGCTGAAAAAGGTCACTGGAACCAGTTGAGTGGCCTTGAAGTTAACATTAACAAAAAAAACGCCACAGAACCCTAAAACTCCCCAGATCTCTTGTTCTAACAAGACCTGTGGGAGCACCATCAATCAACACTGAGCCTTGCATTAACAGCATGAATCCTCGCTGGAGGAAATCTCAGCAGTTTGCTTGCAGCCAGCAGGCAGGGTGTTGTGTGCATGCCATCTCTCCTGGCCCAACACCAGCACCTCTCAGTAGTCAGCAAAGCTGTGTTCTGCCGTGAGGGAATGCCCTGGCAAAGCAAGGCCAAGAAACACTTTTTTTTAAAAAAAAGAAAAAAGTAAAAGGTGTGATTAAACTGTAATTAGAAGTGTTACTTGCAACCATTGGCACTTGAGCTGGGTCATCTAAATCCAGTGAGAAACACCGGGCACACCACAGTGGTTGCACAGTTTTTATACCCTCTAATGTGTCTGCAAGTGTGAAAACAACGTGGCTTTCGGTTATGCAGGACTTTTAGCACCTGGGAGGTGTTTTCTGTTTGCTCCAGGTCCCTGAGCACTGAAGTGAAAGCATCAGGCCACCAGAGGTCAGCTCAAGGCATTGCCCCGAACAGCATTTCTGCACCCCATTGCTTGGGTTATGCCCTGTGCAAGGCAGCGTGATGTTCTGCACCCCATTGCTTGGGTTATGGCCTGTGCAAGGCAGCGTGATGTTCTGCACCCCATTGCTTGGGTTATGCCCTGTGCAAGGCAGTGGGATGTTCTGCACCCCATTGCTTGGGTTATGCCCTGTGCAAGGCAGCGTGATGTTCTGCACCCCATTGCTTGGGTTATGCCCTGTGCAAGGCAGTGGGATGTTCTGCACCCCATTGCTTGGGTTATGGCCTGTGCAAGGCAGCGTGATGTTCTGCACCCCATTGCTTGGGTTATGCCCTGTGCAAGGCAGTGTGATGCTCCCCAGGCTGAAACTGGGGAGTGGTCAGGAAAAATATGCAGCCTCTATCTAGTTCAGGTGCACAGCATGGTACTTACAGGACTTGGAGTTCCCAGCCTGTGTCTACCACTTGCTCAAGAGCTGGTCAGGTGGGTAATTGTTTCTCTCTCCCCTTCAGCACCCACTGGTGGCAGATGGTTCCTCCCTGGGGGCTGTATTTTCACTGTTGCCGACTCCCTGGTGAAGCCACAGTTCCCAGCCCTTCCATAGCCCTGACAGTGAATGAGGTTGTTGAAAAAACGTCACCTTTTTTCCTCCCCTAACTGGAAGGGCTGTGCTGTCATGCCCAGCAAAGGAAGCAGTGGTTCAGAGCAGGAATGTGAGCACAGCCACCAACACATCCTTCATCCCTGAGCCCGGCAGGCAGAGCTGGCAGGCAGAGGAGGGTGCAGCCACATCAAGCACTGAGGGTGCTTTCCTCTGCAGAAACCTCCACCATCAACAGCTCTGGCATGAGAGAGCTGGCGGGATTTATTCCCTCCTGAGACAATACTGCAACTCTTGGTTACAGCTTTGACAACCTCTGATTAGGAAATGCCATGAGCCAAAAATGCATGTTAATCACAGTAGTCTTAGTACCAGACAATTAGGCTCATTGCTGCTTAGAAAACAAACAGCCCAGATCAAGCTTACGAAACAGAGATTGCCAAAGCAAAAAATACCTCCATAACTTCTCATTAGAAACACTCTAG